GAAACTGATGACCAATGTAATAGAAGCGACAATTTTAAATGGCAAATTTAAGGGAGAAGTTCCTTTGCCACATATTCCAACGACCCCTATAGCTCTATGCCCTTTGAACTCAAACGTTTACAGTTTCAAGTGTGTGAATTAGGCTTAACAAATCCATGTTTCTCACATGGACAACTTTATGTGGCCTGCTCTCGTGTTGGAAAATCAAATACTTAATCTACAAGGTGTTTAAGAAAGAATCATCCGATTTGATCGAACAATATACTGTTAGAAAGAGGAAGTTCTCGAGTTTCATGGGGTTTTTGCCAGGTTGCAGTAGTGCGCTTCTGTCAACTCCCAGCTCAGTAGTTGTTAAAATGGCGTATGCAATAAACGCCCCAAAATTTTGAATTTCCCCCAATCTTATTCTTATAGGGAATAGCATTGAATGTGACCGACTTTGGTATGTTCATCTGAACCATTTAGAAACGTGATACAGACTTTAAATTTGAAAAGGGTGTGGAACGTCACCTTAAATTATTTTGTATTATTACAAATAAAAAAATGGAGTGCTCTAAAAATGTAAAAGACCATCCAAGAGATTCATTATGGAATGGTTAACTTTCTTGCAATCACAGTAACGTGCGACGGGTAAGCTAGTTTCTCATATAATATTTATTATTTAACTCTAGATATTCAAGTTTTAATTTAGAGAATTTGGGTTGGGTCAGTTGTCAATAGATTTTAGTGTTATCAGCTGTAGCTTCATTAAGGCAGCAGTCAATATAATTTTTAAGTTTCAAGCGAGATATTACAGAATATTGGATTGGAATAAATTGTGTGGTTTTTCAACAGATTAAGATCTACCGGTACTGTTTCTTATTTAGAACTTATAAAAATCTGATTTCTTCTTTGCTGACTTTATTCATTTTGCCTACGACCCTACTTGCAATTTGAATTTATAACTGTTACAATACAGCTTTTTATTTTATAATTGTTTCTATGACAAGTTTATATTCATAAGACAGACACATAAGATTGTTTATTAGCAATCTTTGGTGAAATTGCAAAATATTTTACAAGCCAAAATTGTTTTCTGAAAGCCCAATGGTCGAGGACAGCTGGGTCCACGTGTTCCTTTAAAAATTATATAATTTGTTATCTCACTCCACTCTACTGTAGGCCTACACTCGCCTTGCATTCAGCTTAAAACATACACCTATGTGACGATTTTGTCTCAAACATAATGACCACACTTCAAGATAAAACAATTAACAGAATTCTCTATGTTTTGTTACGTTACCAAATATTCATATACAACCATTTTGTGCTGTTTTTGGGGTTTACTGATTTAAATAGTTTTAGGCTATGTTTAAACCTCCACCCCCTGCATCAGTTGGCTGTCTCCCAGTCCCAGCTGTTGTTTAGATCAGCTGTTGTTTGTTTACTCTGCTACTTGTTTACCATCTACCAGCAGTATCTCACCTGTTACCAGACCATTCCACAAAACATCAGAATAACATGCACTCCTTGTGGTTCTATCAACTATCAACAACAACAATAAGTTATCTAATATGTTGTTGTAAAACTATATATTAATTTGAAACTGTTTTTCTTTGTTTCCATTCATTTGAGAGAACGGCTGGGCATAGAAACTCGGTAGAGGTGTCTAAAGAAGAAAGAAAACAATATATAACTTGTTGTTATCAAAGTTGTTGTCACACTAAGTTTTTTCCAGTTTCAACGTTTAAATCACCATGTAATTTTAGGTTTAATCATTATTAAATCATGGCGTCTAAATATTGTGAAGTTGGACACTCCATGGTGTGCAGTTTGAGGCAATTACATGACTCATAGTGTGGCACATTGATCAAATATGATAGGCTATAGGTAGTGCAAAACTTAGCATTTGGTTAAAATGAAAAAAAAAACATGAAATATAGCATATATAATTCTTTTTATTGTGATTTCTAATTCACATGTAGCTAGCAGAAAATTAATAACGTTAATTTCTTGAGACTCAAAATTCACTTTTTACAAATAGGCCTACTCCTGGAATTGTGTAATAGTGCTTTATAAATAGCTGTATATAGAGCATAATCATCTTTATATTTTATATTCTAATAGTCCTAACCCCTAGTCCTAACCTTAGTCTGATAGTCCTAGTTTGGTTGGTTTCAGCTTACCTCGTTTGTAAAATTAAACCCATTGAAACCCAATGATCAAGGGCAACTGGACTGAAGATTTTCTAATTTTTTTCAGGACCATTCTTTAATAACGGGACGAGCTTTTTATCATTCTGCTATTTAGTTGTGTGATAATTAAAAACAAAGATGTTTTTATTGTAACCCAAGCCGAATTAATTATAGTCTAACTGAATGCACATGAGTTCTTCGAAAAAATACAACAACCATATTTAATGGTTTGACTTACAGTTAAGTCTGACTGTACTGAAAACACTATAAAAAATCGACTGATTAATTGTCCCTTGGCTTTTAGTAAAAAGAGTTATCCAATAGTTACTGGTATTTTAGTTATACTTGTCTGAAGACCTATGTTTTCACTGATAGATGGAACTACAAACTAAGATGGGCTCTGAACCCCCTGGTCTTGACATTATCACATACGTAAAAGCCATTGTTGATAGTCGTGATTTGAACCTTGTGGCCGTTTGAAACATTTGAACCTTGTGGTGATTTGAAACAAAATGGACAAAAATAATGTCCAGATGTCCTGCGCTCTAACCTAATAGATCAACATTATTTTTAAAAGTAATTGCAATTTTAATTTCGATCCGAGCTTGAACCCAAGTGAAAACTATTCCAACTTTCTGCACCAATTCCTATTAGCATTCAATCACGTTTTTTCTCCAAAAACTTTGAAAAAAACTCGTAAATGTAAGCCAACAGTTTTGAATTGGGTGACACAAGGCATTAAAATATCTAGTGTGAGGAAAAGGGAACTCCACTTGCAAGCTAAGTATAATCAAGATAGACAGTTTTTAATGTATGTAAAACAGTACAAAAAAATCTTTAAAAAAGTAGTAAAGAAGGCAAAAATAATTGCAAATGGTGACTACATAGAAAAGTCTGAAAATAAGTCTAAAGTTGCTTGGCAAGTTAATAAAGAACTTGGTCACGTAAAAAACAAAACTGATGGCAAATTATTTTTAATAAATAATGACAAAGATATATGCAAACCTCAGGATATAACTAGAATATTTAACACTTTCTTTGTCGAAACAGCTTTGAACATTAATGTACCAAAGGCCACCGTGCAAGGAGTTCATGAATCTGTTCGAGACTATTGTAGAGATGAAGGAATTTTGTTGTGTAATCTGCAGCAGATTAGTAAGGGCGAAGTGAAAAAAAATATTCTTTCCCTAAAAAACAAAACTTCTGTTGGTTGGGATGAAGTACCGATCCAATTAATTAAAGCTGCTGTAAATTTAATTTCTGAACCCTTATCTATTATCATAAATCAGTGTTTAACAAATGGAATTTTCCCAGACAAACTTAAATACTCACAAATAACTCCAATTTTCAAAAAAGGCTCTAGGTCAGATATCAACAATTACCGTCCAATATCAGTTTTAAGCAATTTTTCTAAAGTCTTTGAAAAAGTTATAAATAACCAATTAGTTTGTTTCTTTGAACATAATAATCTGTTTTATCTTGGAACAAATACAGCTCTTGTACACTTTATTAATGAGGTATCGGAGGCTTTGGATGGGTCAAGGAATGCAGCTGGTGTCTTCTGTGATCTATCCAAGGCCTTTGATTGTGTCGATCATTCGCTTTTGCTTCAAAAACTACATGACTATGGAATTTCAGGAAGTTGTCTTTCCCTAATTAGATCATACCTTTCAGATCGGAAACAAAGAACTGTAATTTCTGATGGAGGAACCAGGCATTTCTCACATTGGAAATGTATAAAGCTTGGGGTGCCTCAAGGCTCCATTTTAGGCCCCCTTTTCTTTTTAATTTACATAAATGACCTCCCTAAAGCTATTAATAGAGACCTGATTCTGTTTGCTGACAATACTACAGCAATCATTAAAGAAAATAATAGAGAAGAGCTTCTTACATCTCTCACAGAAGTTATGAAAGAAATGGAAAATTGGTTTAAAATAAATGGCCTTAAACTCAATGTGGATAAAACCCAAATTATCAAATTTTCAGCCAGAAATGAAAGAGAATTAAATAGGTTTTCCAATTTAGTCCATTCAAATAAATTCCTAGGCATTCATCTAGATGAAAATATTAACTGGAAGGTGCATATAGATGTTATAAAGAAATAAAATTAGATCTGCATCATCTGTCTTTGTCCACTTGAGAGAATGTGTCACCATTGAAGTACTTAAAATGGTTTATCATGCCTATGTAGAATCCATCTTGAGGTATGGTGTGATTTTGTGGGGACAGGCAACTGATGCAAAAACTATTTTCAGACTTCAGAAAAGAATCATCCGAATTATGACTAACTCCCACCCCAGAAGTCCTTGTAAATTACATTTTCAAAATTTAAAAATCCAAATACTCACAGGACTATACATATTTGAATTATTAAATTACATATACAATATAAAAAATAACCTCCCGGATTCATTCAAATCCACACACAACTATAGTACAAGAAACGAAACAATTTTCAGATTACCAAATCACCGTTTGACCTTATTTGAAAAAAGTCCTTTGTATGCAGGCTTAAAAATGTATAATAAACTACCGGTATATTATAAAATAATGAGTTCAAACAAGTTTCAAGAAACATTGAAAAATGGACTCCTTGAACGTGCGTTTTATAAAATAGAAGAATTTTATAACCATCCCTTGAGTTAATTTTTTGTTTTTTAATTTTTTAAACTACTGTATTAACATTATTTGGCTAGGTATTTTTTTCCTGTTACTTTTTTTCTTCTAGTCTAGGCTCAATTTTGACAATGCACCTGTTCTATATGTTATCACATCTAAAAGAATGTTATGTGCAAATAAATAATGTCTAATGTCATTGTGTTACAGGGTGTTTGCCTCTCTGGAGTGGAAGTTCTACGGCATCTTGAGCAGTTTGCTGTTAGCGATGTCAGCACATGAAGCCTGGACGTCACAAGTGTGGCCAGAGATTAGTGTAGCGCCATCCCCTGTGTCAGAACGAGAACGTCCCTCCTCTACCCACCCAAGGTAACAACAAAAGAGAAAATACGAGTAATGGTACCAGCATGTTATTCGTGAATTTTAGGCCAAATTCTTTCCTAGTGTTTAGGAAAATCATTTTTTTCAGAGTGCAAGTGTGGAGTTTTATTGATATTACTGAGGAAAAGATTCAAAAGTTTTCATTAAAAAAGATATTGCAGTGTTTATAGTTTTTGTATTTAAGCCTATCGTATTATAGAAGTTTTTAAATTGTCTTGATTGCCGACCAGGTGATCCAGCCACAACTATTGTTGTAATAGCGCAAAGGAATACCAATTTTGTTTATTTTATTTTGTTAAAATAGGCACTTTGTCATTTGTTCAAAGGTACTAGCCCCTTATTGCATTTCTATACTCAATTCGACTGTTCACCAAACATAACCTATCACATTAATGATATCTTGGTAACCAGTACAGATCTTATAAGAACAATTGTACTTAAAGTTGTACAAGGCTAAAAGTTTATTCAACCTGAGATTTCCAAGAAACTCTAAATGAGAACTCCTAATGACTAAATGGAGTCAGCTTCACCATAGAAGTGCCAGCTGGATTGTGTATTCTGGCACAAACAATGAATTAGTAGATTAATGGATTAAGATATTTGAATTCGTTGAAATTTATGTTTTGTTTTTGCTGGGTTTAAGACGATGTTGTTTTTTGTGAACCAATTCTGAATTTCTTCCAAATTGCAAGCTTATCGATTTTACCAAGCAAAGTGTTCGGTCATCAGCCAAAGACTTGGAGCATTCCCTTGCATTTAATCTTGCATTGATTATTAATAAATTTAACCTAAATTTATGAGAAATATTTTATTGATTTTAATTTTATATTGTATGTTGTTTGTTTATATTGTAGTTTTGTTTTATTGTAATTTTTTTTAGGTTTAACATTTTTGAAACTGTGTTATGTTTTTTTTTTATTTTGCTTAACTGGTTGTCTAAACTAAAGCATAAAGAAAGAATTGAAAATTGTTGCTAAATTTGTTCCAACTGAATGATTTTGTGGCCACTTTAGGAACGTGTATTGCACTAGTCAAAAGTCAATAAATTCGCCACTGACTTACCTGAAAAGTAATTGGTATTAATTTAAAACACACACAGCTCATAGACTTTTAACAGAGCCACAAGAATACAATTGTAAGTACTGTAACCTATCCCTCAATTTACAGTTTATCAAATTCATAAACTCATTGTACTATAGAACTAACTGAAAACTAAGCATAGAACAGAGATTAATTGATGGGAAAAAGGTAACTAAAAATTAATTGATCTATTAATCCCCCCCCCCTAGCTTTTAGTAGGGCACTTTGCTTTGCATTTTCTAAATCCAAAAACATCCACTAGGTCTACATTTAATGTACCTAAGTCTTTTTCATGTTACATAATATTTTATTTTTGCCTCTTTGATACAACAGATTATTTTTTGATGTTTCTCAGTGCATTTATTTTTATACTTGTAAAATATCCCACTATATTCAACAAGATATTTTTAAAACCTTTTTATTAGCTCGCTTTCTTGTCTGTTCGGTACAAATTTCGCAATCGATTTTAAACTAACTTCCCGATGTGCTAAAGACTTGAAACTTGAAACATAGCTCACAAATGGATGACAATGCAATATTATATAATTTTATTTTCATATTTCCCTTGGGCTACGCCCCATGGGCTTCCAAATTTTCAATGTTTACATTTTGGAGGAATGTAAATATATCAATTGAAGTCAGCTGTAAATACTATAATTTGACAGTTTGTTCAAAGAGCAGAGGTTAAGAGGTAAAGGTTTTGCGCCCGAGAGATTCAAAAGTTTTAGGATTATGAGAATAGTAGCAACAACATCTGATTACAGTTGAAAAGGGTTAATTAGCTATTGCATGCACCCTCGTTTCTTGTTTTAAATCTTACAAGTATTTATTCTCTCCACATTTGAAAACTATTTTTTACTGTTTAGTTCGTTGAAAAACGTGGTATTTTAAAATTTTTTTTATAAATTATTAAGCACACTCTCGCTATTTCAAAACCCCCGAAGTCTACTTTCCTATACCAGTAGTCATCTTCTTAGTCTGAACCAAAGCAGTAACTTCATAGCCTTATTATATTACGTAATTTGTTTTGACCTGTTGGACACAACTGATTATTGTAACCTCAGTGGTATTGAATCACCTGATGGTTGCATATGCATGAGAGTTGTAACATGACACAAGTGACCTTGAAACACCTTACTGATAACAAGTGTGATCAAGTCAGCCAGTTACACTCCCACCTTCCATAACACTGCAAAGTTTCCCCATCAACTGGGTTTTATATCTTGTTTTTTCTCTTTTTTTAATTTTTATTTTGGTGAAATAAATTACTTGACTTAATAATAAACTATTCAAATTCCATTAAATAGGCTATCATTTATTCATTTATCATTTATTTATTCTATCATTTACATTACAATATTTCTCATAGGCTAGGTCAATTAGATTTTACATACATGCTAGGTTTATGGGCTTGACAAACAATTTGATAGAGCAAATAGTCTAAACTTATGGTTGGGTTTCGTGCCGGGGAATGCAATTCTGATCTTTTACAAGGAAATGGGCTACTTAATTTGTAACCTTGTAATAGTTTAGGCCTAACGAAAAGAATACAATTTAGAAGGGTCCTTCGCTTATGGAAACAGTCTATATATATGTACCTAAATGGTTAAAAAAAATTAGATAGTATATATTACCAGTTGTACCAGTATTAAAAAATAAAGATTGAAAAACTGTTAATTTAGAGGAAAAAAATGCAATTACTTGCTAATTAAACCTTGACTCTGTAGGTTATCAAGAATGGCTTTTTATCTCCAAGGTTGAGTGACGCAGATGTGAGGTGATGCTTGTAACTGTAGCCTCATCTTATTTGTATTTCATGCTATCTTAATGCTCGAAGCGTCATCAAATTATTTTGACTTGTTGAGACAAGGTTGTTGGGTTATCTGTGATGATGCAACACATTGTTGAAAGCAATACATTGTTGAAAGCAACACATTGTTTACTTACTTTATACTTCATACTTCTTCCCTTCATCTTTGACCAGTGATACTGGATAGATGGCGTCAGTAATACTTTTAAAAACTAATATTTAGGACTGTACAAAACAAATATTTGAATATATAAAAATTGTACACTATTTACACATTTTGGGTCATATGTTTGGCGGCAGGTCTTTACCGAGCTAGGCCTTAGATATTTTGGGCCTCTGCTTTATAAAACTCCTCAATGGAGTAGAAAAGATTTTTCCTCAACCATCGTTCTACCTGAGTCTTGAATTTACTGGCCTCCAGAATTCTCACACTAGTTGGGAGCGTGTTGAAGAGTTTTATTGCCAGGACTGGGAAGCATTCCTTCTTTTTACTCAGCCTACAATTAGGGATATCAATCTTTTCCCTCCTTCGGGTGTTATACGGGTGCAGGTCCCCTCTCATAGTAAGTGAAGAGAGGTTTTCCCTGACATAAAGTAGGCTTTGTAGAATGTATTGGCTAAACACGGTGCAGACTTCAAGTTTTATAAATATAGGTTTGCAGTGGTCTAGAAAACTAGCCGAGTCTATGATTCTCAAGGCTTTTTTGCTTGAAACCTGATTGTAAATATTAGGTATATTTCATTGATATCATTAACAAGATGGTTTTAATGTAATTACAGTCATAAATGTTTGCTATTTTACGAATGTGGTTTTGTTTTGAACGAGGTATTAATTTGTTTTTGTTTTGTAATTTAAAAAAAATCTGCTTTTAATGAGAAAATAATCATGAATGTTTTATTTTTGTGATCCAATCTTTTTTGTATAAGGCCACTAACTAAAGATTAAATACAGTAAACCCTCATTAATGTGGACCTTATTAATACAGACTTCACATAATATAGACAGACATTAAGACCCAGTTTAAACTTAAATTAACTTCTAGTAAAAAAATGTGAACCGTTTTGTTGCGTACTTTCAAATATATTTCATCACAACGTGATAACACAATTCGTAATCATAGATGTAGGCCAAATTTCTTTCAAATCTACCAAGGAATTTGTTCTTCTAAATCATATGTCTTTTTTCAAATACTAGAAAATAAATTGTGTTATTTTGTAACTTATTTGCAAAAGTAGAACATATTAATGTTATGTTTTCGTTTTGTTGATCTATCGATAAATAGGCTTAAAATACCTACCTTCATGTGGTCGTTGTTGTATATGACTATTCTATGCCATTATATTGTTATAATGATACAATGTGTGTTCCAGTGTGGTAGCAGTCAGTAAGGCCCTGACGTCGAGCTGTACGACATGTAAGCAGTGTCTAGCTTGGCTGAGGAATCTCAGAGCTCGCCAGCCAGGTCTGGTAAGTGAACAAATCTTATAAGACTGGTAATGTTTATAACTATTGATAGATCTAGATGTGCTATTCCCCTGTTACAGCTGTAGCCAGTTATGGTTCAATTGGGCCACCGACAGCGTGTGTTGCTGTCAATTACCGATTTTTGTGGACCACAATACTAAGTTATGACCAAGGCAAACTGATAGGACAACTAATTGGTAAACTACAGCATCCTTTAGATCACATCAAGGATCTTAATGTCTAAAAAACCAGTAAATAAGTTAATGTAGTTGAATTCCCACAAAATTATTCCCTTAAAATTTTCTAATTTATTTCCGTTTTATCATACTAATATTATGAATACTGTATGAATGTTTGTGTTTTTGTTTGTTTGTTTGTTTGAAGTTCAATCAAGCATTAACTACTGGTTGGATTGGGTTGAAATTTGTATGATTATAGCTCACATTCCCGATTAACATAGACATATTCTTATCTCAAAAATCCTTTCGGGCCCCGCCCCAGTGGCTCTCTAAAGTTTCCCATGTTAACCTTATGAGTGTTCATATTTAAAAGGAATGAAATAATTTTGCCAGCTGTTTAAACTACACAGGTTGGTTCCATGATATTCAATAGCATTAAAAGGTTATAAGACTTACCAACAGAGTGCAGCACTATTAATTCTTTTTGCATTTAAAAATAAAATAAGATATCTTTAATGTAAAACTGTAACATGCACACTACGACTAACTGTATCACAAAAAACAGCCATTAAGGGACAAAAGACAATTTTAGTAGCTTGTACAGTGTTACTTCTGATCTCGGTGATAATGATATCATTTACAGTAAAACCTACTATATTCGGTATAGGCAGGACCAGAGTCATGACAGATAAACTAATTACGAGAAAAAACAATTTTACCAATTTTTGAGATGTACAAAACACATTTTAAAAGCACCTTCAGAAAGTGTCTGCAATACCTGCAATACAGGAGTGCATTGATGTTGATTCACGAAGTACTTCACGAAGGCGTTCTAATTTTTTTTATAATCTTGTTTTAAAGCATAGTCAATTTTGCTTGAACTAACAAGCCTTTTTTAATCTTGCAAACTTCTCAAAGATTTGAGGACCCGTCCATCCCTAATTTAGATGGAAATTGAGAAATTTTATGTTTTGAGGGACAAAAATGAGAGAAAAAATGTTACCCCATAAATCCCCCCCATAAAACCCCGTTCTCATAGTCTGATCACGCCGGTTCACTAACTCGTTCAAATAAACGTAGGTGTGTACCAAATTTCATCAAAATCGGATCATTTTTGCTTGAGTTATCGTGCTAACGGTGACACATAGGCCTTATAGTATATACATACGAATTTGAACGGATGGTGTTTTTGACCTCTGGTGACACCAAAATAAAAAAATAAATCGGTCCTGGGTCCAGATCTTAACATGAGACTTACGGTAATAGCTTATTCCCTGTGGAAAATTTGCCGCTAACTAGCCTAAAACAGTTTATTTATTCTCCATTAGAATAACATGTCAATTTTAAGCTATGTACAACAATGCTTTAACACTAAACTACAATTTTTTTTGCTCTACAAAATAGTTTGGAAAGAAATTGCTTAATTCTATATTTTGGGGCCAAAAATGGGAAAAACGGATTATTACCACATAAAACATACAACTTTGTTTACATAGTCCAATCATCCTGGTTTGCAAACTTAATGGAATAAACTTAAGTTTACAGGTTTGTACCAAATTCAGCTGCATGTGTGTGTCTCTTAGCAAATAGATCGAATAAAAAAAGATTTGATTTAATGAATTTGGTACAAACCTGTAAACTTAAGTTTATTCCAATAAGTTTGCAAACACATGAATTTGATCTGACGGCGTTTTTAGCCTCTGGGGACTTGGAAACAAAAAATTAAATTGGTCCCTGGTCTAGCAAGATCTTATTATGAGATAGCTTTTTACCTTATAAAAGGATATTTGGAAATTTCTAGAAAAACTAATTTTAACTGTAGCACATTCTAAGAGACGCTCTTCAACCAGGTTCTATCTGAATAAAAACATAGGCTAAAGCTAGTCTACCCATATGATATGTCTTCTTCAACATCCAAAAATCAAGAGTTTGAATAAGTAAAAAAAATTTTGATTATATTTTTAAAAATCTTCTATAAAGTAATGCCTTAACTTAAAAAATATAACCCCTAACAGTTGTAGGGTATAATAAGGCATCATAAATTGAATCCTGAGCTTATAGGTTAATTTTAGTTTGTTTTTAAAATACGACACCCTCCCAGTCCTGTAAGTAAACTTGACCAACTCTTGTGTTGACAGTTCTGTTGTTTGTCATCTGTCGTCTGCTCGGCTCTACTGCTGCTTGGCCGCACAATATCTGGTCTAATGTTGGTCTACGCTGTTGTCATGTCACTGCTGCTAGGACCAGGCATCTTCCACAGATGTGTGCCTCCCCATCTCAAGCTTACAGTCTCGCAGTACATCACCTGCATCAACCAAGCGTTCGTTAAATACTGTGAGTAAACAAATCCTCAGGAGTCATAAAAAAAGTAAATCGGTTCTGAGTCCAGTTGTTCCCAATGGGGGAAATTTGCCAAAATGAAGTGGTAAGTACAAGGGTGTTTTTTTAATGCGTAATCTAAATTTAAGTACTGTAAGACACATTTTAATGACAAAACAAAACAACCTTATATTTTGGTATCCCTCTTTTCCTTACTTCATTGACAATCAGCTGATATGCATTGTTGCATAGTTATCTATGAGGTTTAGTGTTATTGGGAATTTTGTAAATAAGACACAACATGACAGTATCTCATCTCATTCTACATTAACTTGCATAATGAGCTTAAGATACACGCCTAGGTGGGGTTGCTGTCTGTAAAGTATTAATTAGTAAAAATCAAACATTAAATTCTTCCCTAATATTGATCAGTGATTTAAGTAGTTTTTTTAACATTTGTGGGGGTCAATAGTTTATACAGTCACATTCATAACACACTCATCTATGTCTTCTTAAATAACGATTCTTATTGTGTTTTAACACTTTTTTCCGTCTTTCTGTAATTGATTTGGATAATTGGCAACTCGGAGTTCGAGTTCAAGTAATGAACCCTGAAAGGTGTAATTAACAACGCCAATCTAGTAAACAAGGAGACCATCCAAAATAACATCATTCTTAAAAGGCTCCTTGTGGATCCAACAATTGTTTAGGCCTACAAATATGTTAAACCAATTGTGTTCTTTGTTAAACCAGTTATAAGGAAATCTTCAACAGTAGCTCTGTCATGATGTATGATGTATGATTGGCTACTGTAAGTTTCATGTTAAAATATTATCAAAGCGATATATTATACCCCGAGATTTATTTTGCGTTCAATGTTGTAACTGTAGAATAATTCAAACTCTGTTACCAGCAAATGAAGCCAGTGATGACGAGTACATGCCAGTTACGACCAGTGAAGACCTGGCGTTGCTCACACGAGTCAGTGATCTACAGAACGACACTTACGATAGTCTTACGAACCCCGGTAAGGTCAAATATGTTTCATAACATGTTGGTACACTCACAGTGCACAGTACTCAAATCTGTATTTTCCATGTTCTTCATATATCCCCTATAATCTCTCTTAGGTCCTGTACAAAATAATTGGCATTTAATCAAATTATTAGTGGTTTTAGTATAAAATACCCCCGTCGCAGCAAACCTGACAACTAAACGAATTTCCATTTGTCTGAATTGATTTTCAATTAAATATATTTAAATAACATTATAGGTCGAGTACCTAGGTTTGCTTTTACAACAACAAGGTTTGTAGCAACAAGGAAACTAATGAAGTGTGTTTTTTAATAAAATATTAATAGCTTAATACAAAATAAATAAGTTTGCCAAGTTTTATCAAAATATATCCATAAACAAGCAAACTACAACATTTTACAATATTCTCCATAAGAATAACAGGAATTTTAAATTTAAATTTTTTTTAATTTTCACCGTTACCAATAACTGTACAAAAATACTTTTATACACAACATTTTTTGGTTTTTTAAGCTCTTTAAGAAGGTCTAAAGAGAAATTGGGAAACGTTTTGAGGGTCAAAAGTGAGAAAATCCAATTTTTAAAGTAAAGTTTAGTTGTCGTTTTATGTCATTTCACTATAGTTTCCTAATTTAACATGTGTTTTTTAGGTTCTTCATCAGACATGGTTTCAGGACTGGAGATTCCGTCACATGAAGACGACTCTCTCTGTGATATAGATCAGCAATTTCTAGATCAGCCTGACAACACTCAACAAATAGAGGTAAAGTTCATACCTAGACAGTGTGAGAAAATTTGAGGCAGCAATGAAGATGTAACCAATACATCCTACTATCCTACATTCACCGTGCAGTACAGGTTCTATTAGAGATAGTTGTGCTACAACAATAACTAAAAACATTCGGTTTACATCATTGTCAGTGTGACCCTTGTGAAGTTGTTAGAGTTTGTTTATTTTTTTTTTTTTAAGTTTATAGTTTTATAGATTGTTATTTCGACCTAATGATATGAATTTTGACTATGGCACAGTAAAAAGTAATATACCTACTAGTAATAAGGAATGAGTAAAAAGTTACAAGTGAAGGAGTATTTTGTGGGTCCTAAAGTTTTTCTCAATACCATCGATACTTGGCTGTTGGTATCGAGAATCGATTGTCAAAAGTATATACCGATACCGTTTCATGATGATGATGTTATATACATGGCCCCCGAAGATGTGATGATTTTGCTGCGATCGTGGACGACGAAGATGACGTTCCTGTGACCATGGGAGTTGATGATGATGTCTACACAGGCGCGGGAGATGTTCATGATTTTTCCGCGACCGCAAAAGACAGTGCTGATGTTTCTGTAATTGAGGAATATATTTAGAATTTTGCACTGATCCCAGAAGACGAAGATGATATCTCCAAGACCGCAGGCGATGATCACGATATTACCTCGAGTTTGGCTTGACTGAAAATGTCAGGCTTAGCACACCTCTATAATATAATTTATTTTTTGATTTTTGTTGTTACATCTTCGTTTATCTTTTTATGGTAGTTTTTTAATGTGTTCAGAGGTGTTTAAACTTAAATTGGCTAGTTGGAATGTATCATTAATGCGTACATTTTTTTTTTTACTTTAAAAACACCCCATTACCTCAAAAATACTTAATGGAAGGACATAGAGACAAGAGTTGTGTAGTACAACCAATCAATCCATTCAGACAATTCGGTAAAACAATAAAAAAAATGGTATCGGTATCGAGAATCGATAAATTTTGGTATCGACACATCACTAGTCTTAATATGATTGTTATTTATTATATTTTGAATCTTCAAACCTATATAATTGTCCTATGTGTTAACCAGTTCCAGAGTGGTCATTTCAACGGTGATTCATCGAGTGATGAGGAAGCTTTCACAAGAGATCTGATAATCACAGAAGCTGATGAGAGAGACACAGGTCACGGGCTGCATACGTTAATTGCACAGGTGTGTGTGACATAAATATTTGGAAACAATTATTATTGCATTGGTATGATACACCACCAATTTCGGCTACATAAATGTCAATTGGTTCTACAATTGGTGAGGTAAGGATGAAAGATATTAAAAGCTTAATAATGTAAGCTTAATTACAGCTTTTACAGTAATTGTACATTTTCAAATAGTGTAGTTCAGCCTCTGAATTACTGAATTGTATTCCAATAGTTAATGATACCTACATATAGTAATCCTTGGTCGCTGTAGTGGTAACTAGTTTCGCCTCCTAATCTGAAACATCAGGAACCCTACAAGGTGTCAAGTATTCACTTCATTTGCTCGTCAATAAATAGAGTTCAATAGTTAATAGCACACATACAAGAAACAGAAATATAGAAGGGATATACTTGTCAAAATACACTAAATAACAAAAGGACATTGCGATAAGAGTCTAGACTTTACTTGAGCACAGTCATGTTGGCATGTTGCTTATTGGATTAAATTGATGACTTTTGACCGAATATGTATTGCTTGTCAGGCGGTAACCAGTAACGTTTTGGGATCTGTCGGGCTACTGGCCAGCGTGGTACGACAGCGAAGGCCAACAAGACGGACAGACTCTGACAGTGATAATGAGGACGACTTTGAGATCATCAACAGAGACGAATTGAGGGAGTCGTAGACACCTCCGTCTCCAACTACACCAGTTTCATTATTTTAGCAAGTTTTTATCGATCGAGAGATTATTTATATTTTAATACATTTTTCACATTATTAGAAATTTCCAATTTGTTTTGCCCAAGAGATTTTAAGTTTAATAAAATGATTTGCTTTTAGGAATGAATTTTTGATAATTGCTGTGAATGATAAGAATGTATCCATGGTGATTTTTTAAACAAATTGGTACCAATTCTTAAAGAGTATTTTTTACTCGGTAGGGGTTTCAAAGCAGTGGTTTGAATAGTTCTGGTTTAAAGGTTTTTTTTTTACATTCCCAGCTTACTGCAGTTTTAGGAAATAAATTACTTTCATTTCTAGGTATCAATAAGAAAATAAACGTTATCAGCATTCTGACACATACTTTCTCCCATAAGCTTGTCAACAACCTTTATCATGGGTAAGCGGTGAGAGTACATATGATATTTTATAGTTAAAAATCACAAAAGTTGCAATAGCTTTTGAACCGTAATTGTTACAGCAATGGGGTGTTGTACTATTTTTTTTAGAATTTTAAGGACCATAACATATTAATTTTGATCAAAACCAGCTTTTCTACAAAAATCAGATTATTTTGTTAGGCCTACCTATTTTATGGTTTTTATGGGAAAATAGCTATTTTTTTCAGACTAAAGAAGAGTTTACTGCTTTTGAAATCACTACTTGCAAAACCCAATAAGAAAAAGCTACTTAATGACAATTTGGCTGTTTATGATATTTCTTACCTTGTGTATGCTTCTCTAGTTCTCCATTTAAATCATGAAAGGTTTATTTAATCATTTCTAAGGTAGCCTATATTAAGTTATTTTAAGTTTCACTCACCTTGAATAAACAAGGAATAGATATTGGTTTAAAAAATACATGTTAATGTAAATAAACCTAACTAAATGCAAGTTTGGCTATATTAGGGTGGTTGCCTATTTAATTTTCATCATTATGATAATCTTATAATTTATAATCATAGCAGATTGCTGATTTTATGTGTTACATTGACCTATTGTTTTGAAGCACAAGTCCACACCGCTATTTTATAGTTTTTTTATATTTAACATAAGTGTTATTAATGACTTTGCGTAAACACACTTTAGTCAATTTTGGTGAGCAAGTTTCAGTATCTACAATTTACTTACAATAACATAAATTCCACGAGAATTTATAATTAAATTAAAAAATGGAAAAATAAACTAGGAGCATACATAAAGTAAACCTGGGTTTCTATCAGACAATCTTGACCAAAGCCAAACAAAACTGATGAGTAAGATTTTAAAATGTTAATCCTTTCCTTTTGATTTTAAAAAGTACTGCATCAGATATGTTGATTGAGTCCTTTGGAATGTGATCTTAATGAGTGACTGGTGCTAAGTGTTATAGAATAAGTGTGATATTTGTTCAAACTAGGTTAAGAATATATTTATTTTATAAATCGTGGCCAATGTGGACTTTGATGGAAGTTTTCTAATTCAATCTGCGGAAGTTGTCTTGTTGTGTTCTCAACTGTTACAAAAAAACATACCTTTGCACTGTTATAATAAGCAACTTTATGTCTCCAAATCTTCGACTGAAATGTGTGATTAACTTTTGTAATTTTATATAACACCTTCTGCATTATACTCGGGTTATTAATTCAAAGTAAATCCTAGATTCCTTCATATCATGTTAGTTTGTATGGACTGTAGATTTTATTTGCTTCCAAATGTATATTTTGACAAAATTATGATAAAAATAAAATTAGATCAGTTAATAAATTAGTTGGAAAAGCTTTCAACAAAATATTTTGAACCCTCTTTAAATGTTTAACTTTCTGTTTATTATTTTATGAATTACTTGATGTAAGTATAGTCAGTTTTAGAGTACTGGCTAATTTTCCAACTCCATGACATTATTTATTATGAAGGCTATACAAAAACTCTATATAAAATACTCAATAGAAATATTATTCAATACTTTTCCAAATTATACAAATCAAAAGAGTTCCTAAAACACAACTACTGTAGAAAAAGATATAAGCAATAAGTCTTTGCCATTATCAAAAATATCAAGATGTTATGACAATTTTAGCAACAAATATAAAATGTTTTATTTCCCCCCCCTTTTTTATCAACGCCAACAACTCTAATTGCAAGTACTTCATTTCAGCAGCCTAGCTTGTTGGTATAATGGTTCAAGTGTGTTCAATTACCCAAACACTTCATAAATTTGTTATGAAGATTGAATGGTTAAAAAATATGTACCTTAATACAGATTTGTTTGAATGTTAAATTGATACTACTGAGTACAAATAAAAGCCAATTATTCCTTTAGGGATAGTTGATAACTGAATGAATAACTTGTCCATGAAACTTCTTTTAGCAAGCTTAAAAAGTAAAAATTATTAGTAGCAGGTGATATTTTTTAATGTGCATGACTCATTTTGTGCATCAAAAAAAGGGTTTACCTGATTTATTTGTATACAGTGAGGTAAATTGCCTTCTCAGTTCATATTATTAGTCTGTGAATGACTAGATAGTGCCAAATAATGCTAATCCAACTTTCTTAGGGCAGATTAGTATGATTTATATCCAGACTTTTTTGAGCGGCATGGATAAACTTTACTTTCTACAATTGAGTTTCTTTGTTGAAAAAAGCTCAACAGAATCCACCTGTTAACAAAGTTTAAAATACAGTTGAATTGCAAACCCAGTCTTCTCCAAATGGGTAACTTCCTGACAAATTATTTAACATATTCAAGTGCCATTATGTAGCTGTACAGAACATTTTAAATGTTTTATTTAGTGTTCAACACACACTACTTCCCCAAAGTCCATCTCCACTTTGTGTGATACCAGTGTATTGTACAGAACTAAGAGTGTACTTAAGCTTAAAATGTGTGTATTTTTAACTCATGATATTTTTGTACATAGTTACCTCAAGGTGAGAAAACTTTCGTAATACTCCGGTTGTTAATGTAGTAAAAAGTTAACAAGTTTGAAAAAGTTCTAAAATAAGTGATTGTGGATTTGTTTTATGTATATTTTTTCTTGTTGAACCGACACAACGTTTTGGAATACCTAGAGTAGAATTTATAACTATGTATTGTATACAATTTCTATTGTACGTTTTCTCCGTCTTAGTTTACATATGAATAATAAAGTTTTTCAATTTTAAGTTATTTCTACATTACTAACCTTTTTCCTCTATCGTAGTCAAAGTAGTTGTTTACCTCAAAACTGTTGAACTAAATAAGGAAATCGTTACTATAGTTCGGCTGCTTAGATAGCGACCTCCTCTAGCATTGGTTAGCATTAGCGCGCAGGTCGCTATCTAAGCGGCCGAACTATAGTTATATCTTCTTGTCTAAAAGCCTTTAGCTCTTTCTAATGCTGACAAGTTAACAGGTATATGATTTACAGATATTAATGTTAGCAGATATTTTGAGATCTTAATCTAAAAAATCTAAAGTTTTTTTCTTGGTTGGGGTCCCAGCAGATGAAAACATTTTAACAGGTAATTTAAAAACCAGTTTAACTGTTAAATTCTCTATTATGTTTTAATTTCACAGTTTGTATACTAAATCACATAAACATTCTCATTTTTCATTCTTTATTATTAATAATAGCAATACAAAGGAATTTAAAGAAAACAATTTTTTTATAAGTTCTCATTTATTTGAAAAAAACACATGCAAATGTTAATAATTTACATATCTCCCCAATTCAATATGAAAATGTGCAGTGTATATTTTGCATTTCAGAGAGGAATTCAATTTTTCAAATGTCCACACAAAACAAAATAAGCGTTTATTTGTATAAAGTTTAAAGAGTTTATAAATCAATGATGGTTGAAAATGTTTAAATAATTGATTAAGAAACAATGGATCTTTCTTCAGAGACTATTCTTAATTATAATTTGTGCATTACAATAATAAAATTACATAAAATCAATCCAATACAATAAAGCAGCACTTGATCTTTCCATAGAGTTGAATAAATGAGATTATTCTTGCATTCAATTCATCCGAATAAAAAAATTACTAAAGATTTTCTGCCTCACTGTGATGACATTGTTACTATTAAAATGACCAGGTGCTGCTATAATATTACTTTAATCATTAAAAGACAAAGCATGAAACATAAAAAATAGGTTAAATGCTAATATTTTGGAGCATAATAAATTTTAAATTATCTAATGTTTGTGTTGATCTGTTTGTTCTCAGAAGTATACGAATGACAGACATAAGGTACGAAAAAACATTCAGTAAAAACCAGATTCTGTGGTGTTACATCATGTATACATTTTAAAATTACCAACACTTCAACAATATTTGGCGTAAAATAAAATTTATCACACTACATAACTGTTAGAAGATAATTTACGATATGTTAAAACATGAAAACGCCATCAGTTGTTGAAAATGTTCACCAGGTCTTGAGGATCATTTATTGCTTAGCTATTAAAAACACTTTATGTACTATTGGAAAAAACCTTTTCCTTCAAAATGAAAATAATTCCAATATGGATGTTGTTTTTTAATTTTGGAAATAACACAATACATATTTATCTACAGCTAAAAATAAAACACATGTTGTATTGCTCAATAACAGAAAAGGTTAACTTATTGCTTGGCTATTAAAAATTACTTGTTATGTCTCGGAAAATCTTTTGTCAAAAAATTTGATAATTGTTATTAGCCTTTATCCTTTTAGTCTTAAAAATAGCACATAATGTATTGCTCGAATAACTGAAAATAGTGGCATAGTTTTTATTCACCCGTAAATCATGTGGTAAAAAAAAGACTATATAGCTAATACCTATAAACCAAGTACTGTAATAGCTATTTACCTTACAAGTGTAGTAAGAGCGTTTTTACATCACGCAGGTGCGAATGTTGTGCAACGAGCGGAAGCGAGTTGCATAATTTACCGAAGTGATGTAAACACGCTCTTGCGTAACGTGTAACGTACAATATTTTACCTGACCCGACAATATACAGGAGGTTACGAACAATATTTTTCATTATCCATTTCACTCATCTTCTAACAGTAACGGTAACGTTCATTTACAAACAAAAGCTAGGTTAGGAAAATTCTTCAAAACATAACAATAAAATTCAAGCGCACAGCTGATTTCTAGCGTTGAACGTCGTTGGCTCCATAGAGGTATATTTTTTAAGTTAAGCACTCAATGTTATTTAAATGGGTTTTTTTACATCACCGAGTGAGTTTTTTTCAACTTTACATCACTCGAGAAGTAACGAAGTTATATACATCACGCTTGGGATAGGGAAGTTTAACATGGCGGGTTAGGTAAATTTATTTAATATGAAAATTCCATTGACTGGATGGCTTTTCCACCTTTTTAATCAGTCTTTTGACCAATGATTTAGGATTTTAAGTGGTTATCTTAGCATTCCTTCAATAAAAAACTGTAAGAAGTTTATTGTTTCAATGTAAAAAAAAGTTTAGAAATTTTTTTTTGTTGCAAATTTTGTGGCATAGAATTTCCATATAAAATCAATATGAAAATTTAAACTGAGAAATCAACAGATAAAATATGTGTAGAGATAGTAAATTATTAGGGATGTGTTAATTCTCGATACTACCGATACTTGGAAATTTGTATTGGTAAAAGTTACGATACTGATACCCGACATGTCTGCGAAGATCGCACAGTTGGAAATTTACTATTATCGCGCAAGACGAGAAATACGTTTCATTTATCGCAAGAGACATTGATAACGATTCTGTTACCGAAGAGGGTTCAGGATTTTGCATGGACCGCAAAAGACAGTGTGATGTTTCCTTGACTGAGGAAGGCATTAATGATTTTTCAGTGATCCTAGAAAACAACGATGATGTCTCCATGACCGTGGGATATGATCACGATATTACCTCGAGTTTGGCTTGACCAAATATCAGGCTGGCACACTTAGTAATAATAACATTTTGTTAATTTTTTCTTTGTTAGATCTTCTTTACCTTTGATATGGTAGTTAGTTAATGTGTTTGGAAGGGTTAAATTGGATAGTTAGAAATTTTTATTGCTGCATTAATGTTTTCTCTGAAACTTGAGAAACACTCCATTACCTCAAAAATAATCATGGAAAAATTTACCCTAAAATAAAAGAGAAAGCCTTACTGGCCATCAAACACTCTCTGGGCTTACATTATTGATATTAAAGACACATCAAAACAGGTTTAAGATTTTACAATAGGATGAGAATTCTATTTGCAGTATCAAAATTCAGTGCTAAAAGTTTACAATTTACTAGTTGGTACAAAACAGTTGTATAGTTGTAAACATTTTCTAGTGTAAAACTTTTGGGCTTGACTTATAAAGATTGAATTAATATCATGGATTTATAGAAACACTTATTTTTACAAGAAAAGTAAATTGAAAACACTCCTCCCATGCCATTAAAATTAATGATGCCAAGTCGGTAAATTGTTAATTATGTTCTTTATATAAATTAGTTTTTGTACAAACTCAAGATAAATTAATGTTAGCTCATTATTCAATGTATTATAAAGCTGTCAAGATGGTTGTAACAAATTTAAGAGGTAAAGTCAAAAAGTTTCCTTAATTTTTGAATTTGTACTATGGCCTATACCATAAAGAAATAATGTCTTGGTCAATTCTAAATATTATATCTTTGTTTATGTCAAAAACCCATGATATCCGAGGTAGTATTGGAATTTTGATTATGATTATGACACTTTCAGTTGCATAATTTTAATAAACAAATACCTGGTGAACATTTTACAAACCACTTAAATGTTAGGTTTTCATGAAAATAATCTATTATTGTACAATTTCATAGTAATAACACTACATCCATGAACAGAAAACAGTCAACATCAAGTGCACCAGCTTAAAAAGCCGCCTTACTCATATTATTCTGTTAACAAAACATCCTTAAATAATATTTTAGTCGCACCTATACATATATTTACAGAAATGATACAATAACATGTCTTTGTAAAGTAGAAATATAACAACATTGAAACAATTCCTGTAAGCATTCAATATTTGAAAATAATTACTGTATTCTATTATAGTCTTCAGACATTTATCAATGCTCCCTGGAATAGGAATAAACAATTATTTGTGGTTGAAAAGTTTTATTCAATTACCAAAAATGTTGAAGACAATCGATAAAGATTAAAAAAGAAATATTTGAACGTTCAATATTAAGAAAAAATTAGTTTTTACACTGCTCCATTGATATGACAACTTTGAAAAAAGCGATGATAAAAAATAAGTGATGAATCCAGCAAAACTTTACATGGCACTTGTATAGAGTAGTAACAGTATCTTACATTACATCTGAAAAGGAACGGAAACATTTCATTCGAGCTAAATCATTTATAATTTATATTCAAAAATAATATATACATCAATGAAAATTGTATTGGTCCATTTAGAAATGCAACAACAAATATTATGTTACATTCAACACTGTAAAGGCTCCGAATAGAAACAGAAATAAGCTTATCCTAGAGAAGAAGCGCTGATTATCACGTGATTGTAACGGTTAAACAGAAAAAGCAAAGAAAATATATATATATCATATTGACAAGAAAAAAACAGTATTGGAAGATCAGATACAAACACTGACACCTTACCATAGACAAGACACACGCATCCAACGACTGAACAAGCGTATTCTTATACAAAAATGTGCAAATCAGCAGAATTAGTTTGAATTTGCAGAGTAACAGTCAGTATTTTAAGAATAGTTCATATATGGGATATCGGGGACAAGTTCTATGTTGAAAAGTATAAAACAGCTATTTTATAGCGCATAGGAAATATTTTTTTCAATAAAGGAAAACTTAAGTTGGAAGTTGGTGTAAACATTTATATTTAACATTTCATTTTAGGAGTATAATCGGCTGAAGGACAAATAATAGATGAAACTGACAATTTTACAGTGGAATAGGCTCTGATGTTTGTGCCCTTCACAATTGTATCAAAGATTAGGTCATGGTAAAGAACTTAACCTAAATTTCAACTTTAGTGATATATTGTCAAGCTGAGGGATATGAAATTTTACACTAAGACTAGATAACAAAAACTGATAGCTTTGCCCTAGATTTGTTTATTTTTTATTTTTCCATTAAGGCGTTTCAATTTATTTTTAAGTTTTAGTTTTATTTTTTCTTGTTATTACACTTGATATTTACCTTCAATAAGTATCACATAAAGGAAAGGTGTGTCAAAAAATGTTAATATAAACACATCCCTTGCTACTTCATTTAAGAACAGTACACATAACCTTTATTTGTTGTTTTGTTACCATACATAAAAAAATGTAAATGAAATACTTGTGCACTTAGGTAAGACTTAATGTGAACCTTAAGTCTTCAAAGTGGCCTTCATTATGTTCTGTTCAAAAGCATTTATTTATGTGATATAACTATTTCAAGTTGTAACTTCAATAATCTCATATAAAAAAAAAATAAACTAAGTATTGCATGGTTTAATTGATAACCATAAAATAACACTACTATATTGTTGACAACCACTTGCTCAGTAATTGACTATTAATTGTATGGATTTCAGAGAAGGAAGTGCTGAAAGAGAAAACTCTCCTACAGTGGTAGCTTCAGAAACACCAGCTTGTGGCATTATCTTGTCATAAAGCTAATCAATCTGTGATTGGTTGACACAATTAAGAAGTCCGATTAGTTTGGCTTACAAGAGAAATCACAGGGCAAAGCTTACCAGACAAGTCCTTAACAAATTCATGGTTTTCTAAACTGAAGGTTGAAAATAATCATAACTCTAAATAAAGGCATTTATACATTATGACCCGAGTCAACAAATGTGAATATGTACAAGATAAGGGGTGATTTAATCACAAAATGTACATTATGAAGGACCTCAGAAAAAATTAGCTGGCCCTAAAAACTACTTCTAAATTTAACACTATCTTTAGGGAAACTTGGGGAAGTCTTCAAGCATAGACAAAACCATAATTACAGTTACATCATTTTACATTGTTATGTACATCAAAATCGGTTTACAAAAGTATTGTACAAAGGTCGTGTCGAAGACGTCCCCAAGTCGGGCTGCAATGTGCGCGTTTTTTACACATCCGGACTTGATCAGTTACAGTATTGTCCTTCTCGTGTTCAGAGATATTAAATCAAATTTGTGTCTTTAAACTAACTTTCAACAAAAGTATTTCATCCGGTACACCTTTGCCATATTGAACTGCTGTTGTATCTTTCAAGGAGCATACACAATAGGGAAAGTACTTTGGGTATTGAATAGAGTAAAAATGTCACTGTAAAAAATTGGACGATTTCTTATGTATGTCTGTTGATTGCTAGTAAAAAATGTCTTTGAAGATTAGTACACGCTTGGCAATCCCTGTTGCAACTCAAACAAAACAGGAAAACCAACCATATCCAGTGGATGCAACAGCAGCTCAATACGAGGATGTTCAGATGAGAAGACGAAAGTAAGGCAAGGCGAGAAGAGGCGAATTCCTCTCATTGTGCCAAGGGATTTTCTTGTCGAATATCGGACTTAAGTTTGACAAACTCCTTGGCGACCTCGTCGTTGCTTCGCTGTGACAGAATACGTAGGATGGTCCAGCCTGTCTCGTCCATCTGGATGCGCTTTCCAAGAGATAACCAGCAAGCGCATGACCCCTGCAAATACAGAATTTGTTGTATTGACACATAGACAATCCATCTGTGAAGTGATCTGAAGATAGAAGGGTACCATTACAGTATAAGATGAAACAGTTAAAGGTGTCTGTCCTCGAAACAACAATATCTGGCTATCAGAATACCACTAAACTATTAAACTGTGCTAAGTAAAACTAAAAAATATATTTGTTATGATCAAAATCTAGTTTCAAAATACAAGGGCCGTCCAGTTCGGCGAAACGTCTGCGTAGTAATCGTGGTATATCAATACTGGCCATAAATACTAAATACTATTTTTTTTTACTAGTAGATTGTTTTTAGGAATGAGGACTTTACTCCATGTTCTTTTGATATTTTACTATACACTCAACCCTGCCAATTGCTCGGAAACTCTGTCAAACTCATCCAGGACGCTAATTAGTAAAAGCCAGGAAAACACCCTTTAGTAACAAATCTATTTGATATGACAAACCTGATCAACAATATCCTTGAGCTGAAGTACAGCGACTCCGACTAGACGGTCATCCCGAGCAAAGCAGTAGTCTTTGACACAGATGTGAAGCTCAAAATACTCCAGCTGCTCCTCATTTCCGATGATGCTAGAGAGGCAATCACACATTAAGCATACAATGGGAAACTTCTAAAATAATATGTACATAGTTATAAATATAAACAGGAAAGAAAGAGGTTGAAACACGACACAATATCTTTGTCAGGTAATAGGAATCAACGTACAGTGTAGGCAGCTCTTTGACTGAAAGAATGCATCATCTAGTAAAATTAATAAAGTTCTGATAAACGGATCATGAGCATTATATTGTAGCTTGCAATATCATGTATACTGTATAAGGCACTGAATATGTAAATATAAAATGTTAAGTATAGCGTTAAAGTAGTCTATATTTTTATTTTATCGTCCTAAAAAGTACATTAATTAATTGTAAGTATGTAATGTGATCTGTACTTCAGTTTTTAATTAACATTAAAAATTACTGTACCGGTACATAATAAATTATATTTCTTTGAATAATCTTTTTCTAATTGGATAGAGCTTGTAAAATGTCGTGTGTAGTGAAATAGTATCCAGGAAGTGTGGAAATACAGAGAAATTTTGTTGTTAGTACGTTATGGGGGGGGGGGAGAATGAGTCTATAGGGGCGCACGGGTATACTTGCATTGGGGCACAGACAGACTAGTTATGCCACTGGAAAGACATACAAACAGCACTAGACAAATGATTGTGACTTATTTGTTTATGTAGCTAAGGACAAAGGAGTAAGATACCCGATTATGTGAGTGACTACTGTCCAAACGAAATTGACCCAATAAAGAATGAGTCTACTGAATGGCTCTATCAGAGTTGTAAAACCTAGTAAATTGTTGCAAACAGCAAAACTTACAAGTGGAATGTCTCGTTGAACTTTGGTGACCAGTTGTTGTTCTTTGACTTGGTGGCTTGCTTGCGCTTCTTGTCAGCGAGATGGGGGCCAATCAGGTTGACCTCAACAAAAGGCCGGAACATTCCTGTTGCCAGCGGCCACTTCAGGTCATTGGCAGCCACAACTGCAACATAAAGGCAGAGTTTGAAACTATATTATTGATCAAGAGAGTCTTTAAAAAATCAAAGGTTTCAATGTTCATGTTCAAAGTTGTGTGCAAAAAAACCATGTATACTTTTTCAACAATACTGAATCAAGTTTTTTTGTTTGTCATTGTGCTACTAATTAAAGCCTTAAACTGCCTTATACACGAGTACAGTAAAAAGTGTGCAGCCAAAATATTTGCTTGGAAAGTGCCTTAATGAAGGGTTTCAATGGCTGACACTCCATTAAGCAAGTATAGTTGAGTCTGTAGGAAACAGTATAGGCCTACTGCTAACTGGGTTCACTGTCTAAGTTCCAACCAGATCTGTCTAAGACCATACCATAGGTGGAACATTCGGATTCAGTCTGGTGTACAGCTCATGGGTAGTTTAGTTAGCCTGTCTGAAACAACTCACTTAATAATCCTCGGGGTTCAAAGAGTGAAAACAAGAATTCCAAGTGACAACTCACCCTTCACGGTGACCTTGTGTTCGCCAGTGCCAGGGTGGGTGAAGAGGTCTACTTGTATTGACACTTCACCTACACTCTCCTCCGTACCTGCCAGATCAGCTGTACAACAAACAACATACAAACTTGCATCAGAAACATATCCAGGTTGAAACTTAGATAAACTTGCTAAATCATTATCAATCTTGTCTTGACCATGGTAAATAATAGTCTTGGGTGGTGCGTGTGTGTGTGTTTATATTTACTGGCTAAGTAGCTAGTAGACTTGTACAATTTTGATGATTACGTATCTGCATTTCCTTTTTTTCTTATATGATTTTCTATTTTGTTTCTGTGAATGCATTTTTGACGAGTCCTGGACTAATCCAAGTGTAAGTGTAAAAAAATATGTGAGTGAAAATTTTCAGGAAAAGCACTTTTAAAATTGTTTGTTCCGTTTTTTGAAACTTTTTTTATTTTTATTATTTCATTGACATTTGAAGTTTCATAAAATGTCCATGGTAACGCAATATCTTTGGTGATTTTTTATAAATAGAGCATCTTTGATGGAAAAACACAAAATTTTGTCTTGACCTTCACGGACATAAAACTGAATATTAAAAATAGTTAATATTATTTTTATAACTATGTTTTGCTATAAATTAATTTACTTTTATGGCCATTATACAATAAACAGCTCACTAAGCTTTTGGTATATTTGGTCTTTCTAGAAAAAAATATAAAAAATAAAAATTAAAAAAAAGCCAATAAAATCTTTTAAGTTTGTATAACTCCGAAAAAACTTACCTGAGACCCGAAAAATCATTATGTTTTTATAGAGGTGTGCTTCTTTTGTGTATAAAACATTGAAATATGATGATATTTTAATTTTTAAATTTTTATGATAGAAATCATCAACGTGATGGTCAGGGACAAGCGGTACGGTCGTGAATTGTCTGGAATAATCCAAATCTTTCCAAACAATCCTTCAGTTATACTGTTAGTTATAATAAAAATATGTGTTTCAATTGAACTAAACTGTTTAATTTGCAATGATATTTAAGTTATTGTCACGACCAAACACAGTATAATCCATAAGGCTGGATTGGTCGTGAAAAAACCCGCGATGGTCGTGAATCTTTTGTCGTGACATTACGTATTATTTGGCTCTGTTCTGGCGGTAGTCTTGCACCTCATGTTCGAGGATACAAAGTGGACTTCTAGGTTAATGTAGCAATTGAAATATCATATCAACAAAAATTAAAACCACGTCTACTTCATCAAATGACTACGTACGGTCATGGACACACCAAAATTACAAAAAAACACAAACTTGCCTTTATTAATCTTGTAACTACTTTTTTCAACACAAAACAACCGGCACAACAAACTTGACGTACACCTTGAACTAGTCTCTAAAACGAACTGACGCAATCGACGCCAGGCTTGCCACTGTCGTGCTCCAAAGTTGAAATTTTTTCCCAAATGGTCGTGACGCCTAATCGAGGGACAGACTTATTTTGTCATGGTAGTCAGTTTGCAATGACAATAAAATTATAATATGCTCCTTTTTTGTAAGTTTAATAACTATTGATGACATAAAAATATGGCTTTATATTTTTGGCATGAATAATTAGTCTAAAAACAGCGTGAAAGTTGGAAAATGTACCCTAGGGAAAATGTTGGAAAATGTCATGGTCGTGAATTTCGAGACTTTGAAAGAACCTCATTATATGAAAATGAAAGGTAGAATATGTGATGATTGCAGATGGTTATCTAAATTTTCTTTTGTGCTTTGATTTACTTTTTTAGATAATATATGCGTTTTTTGGTAGGCTAGTCCTGTACTACTCCTACTTTAGTCCAGTCATTTTAGAGAAAAAACCCCTCTACCTAGAAATAATTACCTAAGTGGTGAAAATTTGCACATGTGTAGTACTAGTACCCAGTAACAACAACATATCAAAAATCAACATTCGTGTATGTTGTGCTATGGCCGCCATCTTGGAAAATGGCAAAGTTAAAGAACACACAAAAATACACCTTTTACTCATTTACATATTTGCCCTATCTCTAACGGTTATTGAGATAAATTGACATTACACATACAATACCTATTTATAAAAAAAATGTAATACTTTTCTTTGTAGATTTATTTTATCACGAAACCCAACGAAAAGTACAAGTAATCCTTGGGGTGAGTTTTGCCACATAATATGTGTAGATACTGCCAGTCTGACTAATCTAAACATGGTTTCATTTTCAATAATTTAGGATTTAAAATTTAAAAATGGTAAAGAAAATCAATTTATGGACAAAATGTCAAAACTAAACAAATAATTGTAACAGTATTAACACCGTGTTTAGTAAAATGTTTCTGTCTGAAGGATAGAACATGTTTAAAAACAGACAAGGTTTATATGTGATAACAGATAAATTTAAAAGTTATTTACATAATTTACATAACATCACATACAAGCACAAACAGCAATCATGCTCATTCTTAAAAAAGTACTTACGTTTTAAAGGAGACACCTGTTAATTATAACAAAGTGATCGTAGATGTATGAAGGGTCTAAAGGAGAAAATATATATGTTGCAATAAGGAAATAGTAATTAGCAAAAACGTTGGCAAAAATTAAAATATGATGATAACTTTTGACACTTTAAGTAGTGGGATACAGTTTTTTCCAAGGACGCTAGGCACGAGCCTGGAATTTCATTTTCACATTACTTCAGGCTAGACCTTGGGGTTGGGGCATCACTCATTTAAAATCTATTGACGATTTGGTTGGATTTGAACCTGGAACATCACGGACCAAAGTCCCACGCTCTACCACTAGATATCCCAAGTGAGATCCAGTAGAAACAGTGTTAATGTGTCAAACAATCCACACAGTGATTATATAACATTGCTGAGATTCAGAAAACAATTTGTCCACACACAAAACAAGAGTTGTGCTAAGATTGTGAGTGTCCATCAATGTGTTGCAATAATGATAGAATTTGATTGCTAAGTATGCCACTGTCACTGTTATTAAGTTATAGAAATATGAAGACTTATAGATGATAGAAAGATGAAACAAAATATTTAAACAGAAAGTAATCAAATAAAACCCCTAAATATACTAATATAAGCACAAGAAATATTTTTAAGGGGTTTGAAAATAAAGAACTAAAATAATGGATGCCCATACCAAATACTAATTAATGTATGAATTAAATTTAAGGGGGGGGGGTCTCTGAGAACAAATCACAAAACCAGCAATGAACAACATTTCAATCGGTTTGTAATTTTTGGCCCACACACTAAGCACTTCATATCATGTAGAATTTTCATGAGTGACACTACTGTCCGCGAGAGTAAAGAAGTCCCCTGAGCTCCGGCGTATGCGTAGTTTAAAGGTGTTACGCTTGAACGTTTCGCGCGACAATTACTGTAGAGCCGTCTTGACGCTGCTCTGGTAGTTTTAAGGCTTAATTTTTGTATTTAATATCTGTATGATTTTTATAAATCTATGTCATAATATTTTTTTGCATACGGTAGTCATACAATGGAAGGAAACCAATTTTCTAGTGTTACTAAGGCAAATTAATAACCTTCCTACTTTATGATTTTTGTTTAGTTAAATGTAACAATACCAATAAAATGCAATACAATAAAATCACAACAATAAATTCAATAAATTCTTATGGTGAATGCATATTACCGGTACATAATATAAGTATTTGAGTACAGCAGTTTCAATAGCATACATCGCAATAAACAACGTATTATTAAAATTATTACCATAATCCTATTACCATAAACCTAAGCAAAAAATAAAGAAAACGAGCAAAAACCCTTAGTTTGACCCAATGTCTATGTCAATCACGCGGTTTGACGCGCTCATATCAGGTAACACGCCATTGACGTATACTTTGCCAACATTTCTGGAACGTTAAATTACTGTCCATCCAAGTTTCGTCCAGATAGAAATTTTCCTTTTTTGTCCCCGTAGCTCTCTTATCCCTTGCAAATACTTAAACCTCCAATTAACGATGTTAGGCCTTTCAATCAAACATTTTCTTTTACGACCAAATTTCTTCCACTTGAACCCCATATCTTTTAAGAGACGCCGAAGTGCCCATTCGCTCCATTTAAAATTAATTCTTTCTCTCAAAACAGGTAATAGGTTTTTACATGTAGGGACAATTTTTTTGTTCTTGTAAAAATTGCGTATTACATCTACAGTTACACGCCTATCAATGCTATCTATTTGTACTTTATGGTGGTCAGTCTTCTTGCGTTTTTTCCCGAGTGTACAGAGTTTTTCATCCGGAGTTTGTTTGCCGGCTTTTCTAATTCGTTTAATAGTTTTTTCTGGAACTTTACAATAGTTTGCGGCTCGTTCTGTTGCCTTTTCTATCGGCACTAATAAATTTTTGTCTTTACATTCGTTGTCACAACACTCCATCACTCGTCTAATTAAATCCCTCTCTCCACTATGTATAGTAGCACGATGTTTTCTTAAATCCATAGCTACAAGGACCGTCCAAAACAAAACGAACTCACTACGCGAACACACGAGACTGCAATGAATCAAATGACGTGACCACATGATGATAATCCACTTACCAAAACAAAGATATGAGTAATTATGTTTACAACAGTTGTTTACAGACAGACATCGAGGCGAGGCGCCCAGATGCTTAGCGCCTGCAAATAGTGCGCGATACCCTCCAAACATAGCTGCGTACCTCTCTGGCTCAAGGGACTTCTTTACTCTCGCAGACAGTAACTTTAAACCTCTGTCGTAAAAGTACAATAGCCACGCAGTTGTGCTGGTGGTAAAAACTGGTTTTGTACTTCATGTAGAGACTTTTTTACGCCAAGATGGCGACGATTGCCCTGTCCACTGCTACACTAGTACAACAGTTTGTCACTTTCTGCATAGCTACTGATGTGTTTTTTTACCGTATTATTATATACAATAAGTTACAATACCTAAGTTTTATAATTTTAATTATTATTTCAATTACATTGGATATGATCAAAACCCAACATTTCAAGTTTAAAAAACAAAAAAATTTAAAAAACAAATCCCAAATCTCCAGCTCTGAAACTTAAACACAACACTAACTTACTTGCCTGATGAAGGTAACAAAAATACAGGTATAGTTATTTGTGTAACTAGTGGGCAAAGTGGCACTTTGCTGCACACGAGAGCAATGTTTATGAATGATCTCGAGTGCAGCAAAGGCCTTTTGCACTCGTGTTACACATTGTATTTTTCCTACAGTCACTATATAAAGCGTACAAATAATTAGTCTTTCAAACACTATACAACACGTTTTTAGGTTCAGCTGGCAACACAAATAGGTGCCCTAGAGAAAGTAGTCACCGGTCCGTATCACTCCGCTATTTTTTCCTCAGCAAGCAATGTGCTCCGCGACTTAAGAAAATAGTTCGGTATGTTTTTGTAATTTGAAGTGGTTTCCGCGCCTAAAAAAATGCTTTAAAGGTATTTTCTTGTTTATTAAGATCGTAGGAATGTTTTAAAAACGTTTAAAAGAAAAGTACAGAAAGTTCAGAAATACCGAAACTATAAACACGAAATGACGGGTTAAATTGTAGTTATAATAGTCAATCAGCTGCTCATAGTATAATTATCTTTAAGTATTGCCAACCTATATCCAAGCCTACACGGATTACGTGCATAATAGAACCACGCTGTTTTGTGTTGTTTCGTTGGAATCCTGATGTGCGCCAAAGTATAAACCGTACGACAAAGTATAAATATGCAGCAATTAGCAGCTTTCTGTACTATAAACAGTAGAAGGAAGCCAACTTTGTCGGGTGACTGTAGGGAAATAATAAAGTGTATACAAACTGAAAGAAATTGACTCCTGACCCTGACATAATTACAATAACATAGCTAATACATTATAAGCCTAAAAAAAAAAAATAAAAAAAAAAATAAAAATTAACACTGAAATAAATTTAAATCCTGAACCTCACATATTAACACAAAAATCTGATCAATATAATTTGAAATTTCAAAACAAAAGTTCTGGTGTTTTTTCAAGATTTGAGATATAATTTTGACGAATCTAAAAAAAAAAAATACTTGAACAATTACAAACTGCTGAAATGTTAAATAAAACACCACGTCTCCGCTGACCTGATGGCCTTATAATTTCCAACAATGGGTTTATAACTAACCCAATACCTATACCTGTAGTCAATACCTTTGTTTATGCCAATGGATCTCAGGAGAAACTAAGGTTCAGTTATAGGTGATTTGCTACTGGTTAAAAACAAAGATTATTCATGGGAAATTGTTTACTAGGTATTTAAAACTAACGCTAAAGGTACTACTCAAAAAGTTAATCTCCAGCACTAAAGGCAATTCAATACTTAAGCTTACTAATGTAATATTTTTAAACAAAATGGTGATTTGAATGCAGATTTAAGTTAAAATACCACAGCTCTTAAACCATTCAACCCTAACGATGTGAGTGTGAGTGACAATGAGAGAATGTGAGTGAGAGTTGTAAGTGCTGAGTGACTTGTGATAGCGAGCAGCAAGACGGGATTGGCTTCGTAAGCTACCTTGCTGCAGAGTCGATTCTCGCCGTTTCTTGGCTCTAAGCGGCTCCTCCAAGCTGTCCATTCCCGCGTCGTTCTCATCTCTCTCACTCGAGAGCGACCGCTGGGCCGCAAACAGCGTCTTTTTGTTGTTTAGCGGAACTTTAGACGTACGGTAAGCAACAGAGAAAGCCACAGAAACGGAAAAGAAGATACAGAAAAGTTAGAAAAGAGAGACAGCCATACAGAATTACAGACATACATGGATGTGTGTGTATACATTTACGAGGCATTAATTTATGTTTTGAATCATTAAGTATTTCAAAGGGACAAGAAGTTTGTTCAACTGAGAAATGTTGAAGTTTAGTAATAGTGTTTATTATATAAAAAAAACTTTTGGTTTTCATGTTTAAGTTTCATTAATCAACATTTGATGGCATTGTATAATGTCTGCAGGATTTTATATTTTTGAAATAAGCTCAACACTAAAAATTATGATCAGATTGATAAACTAGAATGACGGAAATAGTTTTTCCAAATTATGATACACAATGGACATTTTTGTGGTAGGCCTACCTTGAATTATTTTATTAACATAGTCTCGAAATAACATATCATGCACCAACATATGACACTTAACAACTTTACACACCAAAGACTCGTTTTGCAATACACTATAATACACACAAATACAATAAACCTTCGTAAAAGAGCATCTGAGATCCTTAGTTCCAAATAAAGAATTTAAAACCTGTGTTGTTGTTGATAAATTGTATTTATACATTTATTGTTAAACTGATAAAATAAAAATAAATTAAACTTGTACTGAACATTATGACTTCAATTACTTTAAATAAATATAAGTGATTTGCTCTTTTGTTTTCATTTGTTCAAATAGTTTAGAACTTTAATATCTAGAGTGAAGAATCAAGAAATGAAAAATGAGGCAAGTAGGCCTAGGCATTTAAGTTTTTAAATTATATAGATACAAAAGTCAAGATTGAGGATAAAAGTCATGTGTCACCTGTTTACCAAGATGAAGAGTGACACAGATCTAAATAAAAGAGAAACACAAACAACCAACAAACAATCCCAAGAAGAACCATCACCTTGAAAGGAAAGTTTACCTTCATTTGTCTGCGAGGTAACAAATGTTTTGATGAGTGTGTCCGTTGTCTGTGTGTAAAGCGAGAGGGCGTACCGCAGAGACTGCAGTTCCGGACTCTTCTCCAAAAACGTCTTCTTCAGTCCATTACCACCGGCATGGAAGTATTGCTTGATGGTATCCAAGGCGACGTCCAAAACAGCACACTGCTTTGGCGATAGGTTCTTCTCTACCTCCTAAACATTTGAAAAGTAGTTGTAGATCTTGAAAGGTGAAATATTTTTGAAGCCATTATCTTTTGGAAAGTACTTATGGTTTCATGAAGTTAAAGATAGAGATAGAGAGTGAACTTTTCAAAAATTAGATGGGTGGTATTTTATTTTAATTAATTTCAAGGTATGATTATCATTGGACGATATTAATAACCATGTAATGACCTTGGATGTTTTGGCATATTGACAAAAACTCCTTGCAAAGTTTTTGTGTAACAAACATGATAACACTTTGATCAAAATAGGATTAGTGGAGCTTATACCGTAGATCAAACATAATTATTCCTCATGGATTAATAACTTTTTTTAATTAACTGAAAACAATTTTAGTACAGCTTTCTGTCTTATTTATGCATATGGTGTTTGTTGTTTTAAATTTGTTTCTTGTTAATTAGCCAACTACAAAATTATTTTAATATACCAATAATAGATTTGTAAATCCTTAGCTTGTCTTTTTGTAGTATAAACAACACTCTAATCAATACTCTTGTTATATTTTCAATCAGAGCAAGTGAACTTATATAGACCTAGAGATATAATTTGATATAAATCTTGATACCATGACTCCACTGAGCGCATTCTTGACGTCCTGTTTGCCAGCCATATTCTTGATCAGTCTCGACATGTCCTCCATTTTGGCGTTGGCAGCGAGATTCTTTGCGTTGTCTGTTAGATTCTTCAGAATCATCTATCAGGAAAAATAACGTATTTAAAAACTGTATCAACACAATACAAAAGTAAACAAAATTAGTGATCACTTGAATTGTCTTGACTTGTTGTGAAATTCAATAACAGTTCACATAATCAGATAAACTTTTATTATTAAGTTGGTAAAGTTGAATATCAAAGTCTTGAGATAGCTTTTGTTAAACATGTTTTTATGGTATGGGCAAAATGGGGGAATTAATTGTAACTATAGTTTTTAGAGTGACATTTGTAGGATTTAATTTGATGGTGGTGTTTATGTTTAAATTCTTTCAATACAGTAATCATTTACAGGATCACCTTAGTTTTGAAGATATCACAATCTATTTGAAAAAAAAAAAAATGGTTTTGGCATAATGGAAAATCTTAAAATTGATACAACTTACGCTCTTGTCGGTCATGGGAGGCAGTACGACAGCTTTCTCTAGAATCCTCATCACAATCTTCCACAACTCCTTGAGCAATCTCTTGAGCACCGTTTTCTCACAGGATTGAGCGTATAACGATAATGAGCCTGTTTAATCATATAACAACATGATTAAAATTTGATCAGTCATCCGTTACATGTCAAGATTGAGTTGTTCTTTTACATACAAAAGTACCCATATAAGAATGTTCTGCGTAATTAGACTTTTGAATGGCGGTGTTTTTTGGTAAATGTTCTTTATATCGGGTTTTAAATGAGCGTCTAGTTTGGCCGATGTAAAATTTGGGGCAATCTGTGCAGGTTATCTTATAAATCCCAGCTGAATTGAACTTATCCGTATTGGAGAGTCCATTGGATAGTAACTAAACTACATATTTTATCTGTGGTTCTGTATGCTACTCTCTCTTTTCTTCAAAATGTTGGCAAACTTGTTGCTTAGGTGGTTTCCGTAGGTGACTATATTACTTTAGTTTAATAACAATTATAGAGACAAAGGACAGAATATAAGTAGGCTTACCTTAAAAATTGTAGGCATCCCACTTAACTAAAGTAACACAAAAGAAAACACAAAGGACAATTGTAACTTTAAGTTAAGCCTGCTTATCCTGTCATTTGTCTCCATAATTCTCAGGCAATAAGCCCTTTCCAATTAAACCTTTTATAGTATATTCCTGGTTTATCAACTGGTTTATTCCAGGTTCCTCATAACTCCACTAATAATAAAAAAAAACCTAATAAGACTTTTGAAAAAATACTCTTTTATTGCAAGTAGTAAACATCAAAAATATTTGTTAATTTAGTTTTGCTCCTATATTGTAGTAGTCAGTAGGAGAGTTACCGTCCAGGAGATCCATAAGTGGGCGCAAGACTTCGTCAGCCTCTTGCGCGACGGCGTTGCGCTGCGCAGGTGCATTCAACGTCACCTGACCTCCGCCCTTGATGGCCAGCAACAGATCTCCCAACTCCTTGACACTCTGCGTGATTCGAGGCTCAAGACTGCAACAAACACAAGTCATAGTAGTCTTGACAGGAAACAATAATAAAAACCAGGGTCATTATACAAGCTTGTGAATTACTATTGTGTGAATTCATAAAAAATAATTTAAATCAGTTTGGATCTTAAATGTTCGCATGCATGAATTTTTAACCATGTTTGTTAATTGTTGATGAAATTTGATCATGCTGATGATGTTTGAACTATAGTCTAACATATTGTTACGGGAAATAAGATGCTACTAGCTTTGACTATTGATACAACTATCAATCAATCAATCAATCAAATCATTCTTTATTCATTATACATAAAATAACATGTATTGAATAGAGTCAAATAGGCTATAAATACATATAACTACATATTACAAAGTGCTTAAATTAAAATATACTATTAAGATAAGTGAAGAATTTGTAATTGAATATATTAAAAATATAACACTATTGCAATCACAATAACATTAGCAGTTATTAAAATAAAAAACATATACCCATTTTCCGGGCTTAAGTAAAAATATACACAGAAAAGAAAAAGCATTACTAATCATTGTGAAAATTTAAATTGTTCCCCTAATTTTGCTATGGAGTTCAAATTATGTAAGCTACTAATTTTTATTGTTTAAAAATTCTTCTATGGAATAAAATGAAAATTTAATTAAAAAGTCTTTTAGTGTTCTTTTAAATTTATTCAAATTGTCTTCCGTCTTTATATAAGCCGGCAGGTGTTGCAAAAAAATCAAACCTGAATAATAAGTTTTCTTTTTGAAAAATTCCAATTTATGTCGGGGTAGGTTAATTTTAAACCTAGTGTTATAGTCACCAGTATTGCTTGAAGTGGATGACAATTGAATTTGTTTTGCATAGACAGATGCTTCATATATATACAGACTATACACCGTTAGGATTTGTAATTCCTTAAAATATCTCTTAGCTGATTGTTTTCTTTGCAGTTTCATCATTAGACGAATAGCTCTCTTTTGTTTGATAAGGATAGAATCCAAATTGGTCTTTGATGTTGCTCCATAAATAGATATTCCATAAGCTATGTGACTATGCAGTAATGAAAAGTATATTATCCTCAAAGTGTCTATGCTGCAGATCTGAGACATCTGTCTCAAAGCACATACACCAGAAGTCAATTTTTTAACAACATGTTTAACGTGATTGTCCCATGTAAGATTTTTGTCGATAATTAAACCAAGAAATTTAGTCTGTTCAACTTGGTCTATCTTGTCATTGTTTATACAAATTTTTGCTTCAAATTTTGTTGTTGATTGTTTGGTTGAAAAATATATGAAGTTTGATTTATTTGCATTTATAAGAAGATTTTTTTCTTTTAAAAATTCATGAGTTACTTGAAGATTTTTTGAAGAAGATGTTTCAATTTCAGAATTAGAATTTCCATTTAGCAGGATATTAGAATCATCAGCATACAGACACATGGATCCGTCACTCCCAGGAATAGTCCCAGGCAAACCTCTAATATAACAAAGAAATAGTAGAGGGCCCAGGATCGATCCCTGGGGGACTCCATATCGTAGTGTCTGATGCTGTGATTGAATTTTTTCAATGTAGTTTATTTTATAATGTTCTATGATGTCATCCACTTCAACAAACTGGTGTCTATTTTTAATGTAGGATTCAAACCATTTAAGTTCTTTACCACGGACTCCAAGTTCATTTAAAACGTTAATTAATTTATTGTGCGACACACTGTCAAAGGCTTTACTGAGGTCTAAGAATATTCCTACCACCTTTTTCCCTTTATCAATTGCATTTATTATAGACTCTATAAATTCTATACCAGCTGTTACTGTGGATTTTCCTTTTCGAAAGCCATGTTGCTCTTTGTCCAGTAACTGATTGATTTCAAGATATCTAGACAGCTGAATATAAACTATACGCTCATAAATTTTGGAAAAGGCAGGTAAAATTGAAATGGGACGATAGCATGATGGATCTTTAGGATTAACTTTTTTAAATATGGGAATAACTTTAGCCAACTTTAATTTGGATGGAAATATGCCTGAAATGAGAGAGGAGTTTATTAAATGTGTTAATGGTTTTGATATGAAAAGTAGTGATTTTTTAATTAGAGTAATTGGTATTTCATCATGCCCAGAAGAAATTTTATTTTCAAATGACAGCACGACTTTTTAAAGATGGTCTTCTGTTATTGTTTCAAATTTAAAAACGTTTGTCATGGCAGTCACTTTTTTTTGGGTGAAAATGTTGTGATTTGATGTTGAATCAATGTTTGGCAAAATAAGCTTTTCAACAGCAGTTGTAAAGAAATTGTTGAAAACATTACTCACAGCAACAGGATCTGATATTTGGTTATCATTTTGAACTAAGATTATTTTGGAGGGGACAGTTTGTTTTGATTTTAGTGAAATCTCATTTTTTATTATATTCCATGTAGTCTTTGTTATGTTCCTAGATTTTCTAAATTTATTTTGGTAAAATTTTTGTTTAGCACTGTTTATGGATTCCTTTAACTCTTTTTTCTTTACTTTTATTGTTTTATATAACAGTGAATTCCTTTTTGCTCTAGTATATGTTACTAGTTCATGGATTTCACTTTTTTTCCTTATTATTTCATTTGAATTCCATTTACATATATTTGATACTTTTTCTACACACATCATTTTGGGGAAATTAGTGTTAAAAATGTGACTGAAAGTAGACATAAAGACATTAAATTTTGCATCCACCGAAGATTGATAAACATCATACCAGTGTTCATTACTTAAGTCCCTAAGGAACATTTTAAAATTATTTTCAGTATACTTTCTGCATAACCTCTTCATTACCTTTTTGTTTGTACTGTTAACATTTTGTATTTCAAGCAATTGAGCATCATGATCAGATACATGAGTAATAACGCCTGAGACATTTAATTTTGTTTCAAAAATGCTGGTAATGAAGTTATCAATTGCAGTAGCTGATTTATCAGTAATCCTAGTTGGAAAGTCAACCCTATAAGACATGTTATATATATTTATGATATTTAAAAATTGATGGTACACATTATCATGATTTAAAACATTAATATTTATATCACCTGCTAATATGATGTTCTTGAACCTTTTTGTTAATAAATCTAGAGTAATATCCAGTTTTGCTAAGAAAGGTTGGATATATTTATATTCAGGAGTTCTATATAACCCTAACAATATAAACGACATACCATCTAGTATGATTTCAGTCATACAGCACTCAAATTCTTTCTCCAAAATAAGTTTTTGAATTCCTTTAATATGTACTGTTTTAAAATTTACATAGTTACTAGTAAGTATTAGAACACCACCCCCAGTGGTTGAAGATCTGGTCCAATAGGATGCTATTTTATAATTTTTCAGTTTAAAATGAAACAAATCTGTCTCTTTCATGTTAATTTCTGTTAGAACAACAATATCTGGCTTAATTTCATCCAAGTTTACTTCCAAAATGCCTATACGGGTTGATAAATTTTGAATATTTTGATGAAGAATTAGAAAGTTTTGAGTGCTGTTTACAGAATGTGTTAATTGGTTGCTAGATCTTGGCCTATTTTTTTTAAAAAAGTGGTTACATTATGACATGATGTATTAATAGAATCACAGGTTAGGGGTAGGGAATTCAAGACAGGAGTGAACAATTGGCAATTTAAAGGTACTTCATTCACTGCACCAACACTATCACAACCCCTGACAGACAGCCCCCCATCACATGACACAGGCGCTGGTGACTCCTCCACAGGCTGGGTCATTTTTTCATTTTCCTTGGGCCAAAAGAAGCAGCTACTTGATCCTGGTGATCTCAAGTCTGAAGTAGAGGTTCTACAAGCTGAAGGGGTTGACACGTCATCGTTTAATGGGCTACTTAAGGATGTTTCCATAGCAGATGAGTGTTCCATGGATTCCTCTACAATTTTAGTCCTATTAACTGAAGCCAATTGAAGTTCTTGATTAACTGGTGAAGACTCCTGCTCATGATGATGATCAATAACTTGCTGTAAGCGTTTGATGAAGTATTGGTAGGGAACACCATTGTGTAATGGGCGGTTCGAGTGTTGATGGTAGCAGATTATTTGCACAGATGCTTTGGTTGCCTCTTGAAATTGAACCAGATTCCTGATGAAGTGATCTGGCCACACCTGATCCCTCACACAACCCATTGCAGAGCAAATAAGCACTTTAAGGTTTTTCTTCTTGAATTCCTCAGTTAACTGTTGGAAAGCATAGTCGTAATCGTAGTTTGTAGGTTTAAGATAGTATTTTGGTTTTGTTATTAAGCTAAAGACACTAGCTCCCTTATTAGTCTTCTGATAAGCTAGGTGACTGCTTAGGCAGTCTGAGGGCAATGGTTTACCAAACTCCTTACGGAAGGTAACTGCCACACCAGCACTTAGACTCCTTTCATGTTCCAGGTCTGCAGATATGGTGTGAGCAAAGCCAACAGATTCGTCGTTTTGAAATTTATTAATCATGCTTTTCATGCTTGTCTGAATTATACTTATTGGAGGTAGACTATGGTTGACTTTTCCTCTTATGTTTGATATTTCTTTGTTAGGCCTAATAGAATTTATAATGATATATGATAGCTTTTTCTTCCCCCTATGATTTAGATGTAGTCCATGACGTGTAAAATGAAATCTTTGTAGTTCATCCAGGTCAATAAGATGCACTTTGTTTGTTCTTATTGCTAATTCTCTGATATAACTATTTAATAAGTTGATATCATCATGACACGGATCATTTAAGCCTATGTCATAGCGATTTGGTATTGTGGTAATATGTACAGATGATTTATCCTTACTTAGTTGTGTCAGATACTTTTCCAAATTGCTATAGATGTTTGAGGTTGTTTTTTTGATTACATCATTGGTTCCAGCAATTATTACTAATGACTGATGTCGAGATCTGTTTGCTTGGTTATAAATCTTCTCAGTTGTAGCACCGGACATGACTTGACCACAAACTGTAACTGCAACATTCTATCCCACTACTAGACATTCTATCCCAACGTTAAAGTTGACGCCAGTTTAAAAATCAACATTTTCGTAGTTTATGTGATGACATATAGATTGTGCTGACCTAAATTACAAATTTCTGTTTAATACACAAGTGTTTTTACCAAGTCAAACTGATGGAATGACTTATTGTAAGCTATAGCAACTGTTATGACCCATCAAATTTGTTAGAAACAAAAAGTATGGTAGAAAATAAAATTTTAGACACTAGTGCATTCTGAGACTGGCTCCCAAAACTATGTTCTTTCTTAGTAAAAAATTGGCTACAGCTGGTCCGTATGGATGGGACTGTACATAGACATTACTTCAGTATTTTAATAGTCAAAGCTACTTACTAGTAAACATTTTAAATCAAATGTCCATGTCATGCCTGTAGGACAACTAGTAGATATTTCTAAAGAGGAATATTAAAAAAACCAACATTACTTTACGAAAGATTATTGTAACTGGGCAAGTGCGGTTGTTGAATTTTCTGTAAAAATTTGAACTTTTGGTACCGGGTACCAGCAACTGATTATTCTCATTTTTATCACAAAAATATGTAAAACGGTTATTACCTATATATAAATTTAAACAATACCTAATCAAAGTCGCCAGTTCAATCTGAAAAAAGTCTATAGATTTCTAATATCTCAATAATGTTGTTTCTGAACATGTTAATTGCATAATGACATAAAGACAATTAATAAAATGATTGAATATAAAAACATGTCTGCTAAACCAACCTCTGCGCAAACTGTGTCGCCAGGTCGTCCAAACACAGGTTGAGGTTCTGTTGCAGCTCCTTGAGGATGGTTGCTGCGTCCTCCTCTAGTTTGTCTCCTCCCATAGACTCAAACATCTTCTCAAGCTGAACCCTCAACTGCTGGATGTTGTTCATCAGGATACATGCCTGTAAGAACAATAAGAGGATCATAGTAGATTTGTGTGGTGTATGGATTGTAGTTAATTTGGGCGAGGATCATGGTTGATTTTTGTGTGTTGATCAGATTTGTGTGTGGATCAAGTTTATTAGGAGTAAATTCACATCACCTGGATGTATTTCACTTGAAGGAAGAAGTAAATAAACTATTACCATGACAATAGCGGGACAATATATAAACAAAACAATGTACTTGATGGAGATGAAGACAACTCTGTAGCCAAGACTGCAGCACAAGTCAAACGGAGAGTGGCCCCATTTCATTTTTCACAGTAAAGTATTATATTAAATATTTTAGTAAAATAAGCTAGAACAACATTTTTGACAACTGGATTGTTGAAAACGGCTCAATGCGTATGGAGAAGTGTCAACTGAAAGTAGTTTCTGCCATGAATATAAGGCTTGCATTGGCTGATACCATAAGCCTCCTCTATTACAAAGCTGCGGCAAGACAAAAGTGGCAACACCGCTGTCCCGTCAAAACGAAACAGCTGTTTCGGTTATTAAGTTTCTGTATTAAATTATAATGGAAAGTATAGGCAATGTTTATGTTTACATTTTCCACTTTTGTTATTTCCGTTATTACCATGTCAATAGACGGGACGTTGCGAAGTTGACTCCCATACCAACGCCACGGCCTTGTATTAGAAGAGGCTATGGCTGATACTCATCAATACTCATCACATGCTACTTAAATTTCTGCTTAATTTATAACAGAACTAGCAGAGTACCCGTCCTTCGTACGGGAGTGGCATATAAGTGTAAAATGCTTAGTACAGTTATACTCAAGCTTAGCGTTTGCAATGAGGGAGGACAAAGTATGATAAAATTTGCTTCTTTAAATTTACGGTATACTATAGTATTACACATCTACCATAGCCATAATGTTCTACCACTTCACCCAAACAAAAGAAAAAAATAAATTATTAAAGATTCACAAAATATCACAAATTATTTGTGAAATTAAAAACATAAACATAACTGTAAACAGACAGTTCTCATTGTGTATCACAGTTTTTTGTTGCTGCTTAGTTCAAATTAGCTGTTTTCATAAATGAAAAAAAAATAATAGTGCTGCATCCTGTTGGTGATATCTTATAACTTTTAATGCCTTTGCATATCATAGAACCAACCTTTTAGTTGAAACAGCTGACTAAATTCTTTAATTCCATTTAAATATGAGTACTCATAAGGTTAACATGGGAAACTCTAGAGTCACTGGGGCGGAGCCCGAAAGGATTTTTGAGATAAAAATATGCCTATATGTTAATCGGGAATGTGAGCTATCATCATGCCAAATTCGAGCCCAATCCATCCAGTAATTAATGCGTGATTGAACTACAAACACACAAACAAACACACAAACTTTCTCATTTATAATATTACAGTAGAGTCCCGCAAACTCGGCGTAATGTGGACTGGAAGGGTGCCGAGTTTGTGAAATGCCGGGTTATCAAGAACTAGGGTTAAAAATAAGAACAATAAAATTTTTAAGCTTTTTAACCGCCTTTTTTATTAATATTTTTATTACAAGTCAGTATTAAGTCATCAGATTTAGTACAACAAATCCTTGGTATGAGTTGCGAATGATTTGTCTAGCGCTGGCTTGAGTCCATTTTTAACTCGGACTCAAAAAATCACTAATTTTCGGAGCCAGGTGATGGCCGAGTTATCCAGACTGCCGGGTTATCGAGTGCCGAGTTTGCGGGACTCTACTGTAGTAAGATAGGTAATGAGTTAGGCCTTAGAGTATAGGGCATAATAAATGTTTCTAGCATTTTCAACCTGGATGCTACTACATATTGCAAATTAAAATGTCATCTTGTAATTTATTTATTTTAAATTGAACCCAAATATTTGAATTTTGAAATCTAAAGTAAGTCTAAGTAAATCTAAGTAATAGTTATAATGTCAATTAACTAAACAATCCACTTACAATTCTCTCGTCTTTCAGATGGTTAGGAAACTCTTTCTTCACGATGTTGGCATAAGCGATGAGAACCTTTACGATGGTTTTGGCGAATCGTTTCATGTAACGTTTCCATATCTCTGGGTCGGGACATTCCAGCTTATTGATGACATCGAAGCACTGTGTGAGTTGAGTGAAGACGTCCACTACGGAGTTTGAGAACAAGGCATGCTCCGAGCTACGTTGGAACTGGAAACAACAGATATGTTCATACAGCTAGTTTTGGCTCTAGTTGGGTGCTAGAGGCTATAACATCACAAAGGATGGAAATATTCAGCGATTAAAAGAGTCCTTTCTTTAAAGTGCAAGACACCATGAGCTTTCTTTGCAACAATCTGGCACTGTACCAGCTGGTACATTGTCATCTGTTCTCTTTCTCAACCATCATTGGCCAAAGGTAAACATAAGTTCTCAAAACATTATTGTTACACACTCCTTGAGAATGTATTTTACAGTCTATGAACAAAAGTTTTTGTCTTCAAGTAAGTGTTATGAGTTTAGACGGTAAAAAGAGCAAGAAAAGATAAATGGTATCCAAGTTAAATACTCCCCTCAATATGCACTTTGATAAATTCAATTCACAAATTTCACTTTAGCTAGCTACTATAAATACTATATAAACTAAACATATTTTATAAAGATATTTGGTGCTACTTCATGTTTCTAGTTTAGAACTACCAGTACTTACATTCCATAAAAAGTAACACATTATGCAAAAACTTTTAAATATTTTCTTTCTTTAGTACCGTACATGATTTGGTTGAAAAATATCTTTTTTGAAGCCATCTCAGGTGCCACCTCGGTAAACCTAATACACCACCAGGGTTACAAGTACCACGGTTTGAGGATCAATACAATACTACAGTGTTGACATTTCTTACATCAATAAAGTGATTAAACTCCAATGTAATGTAATGTAATGTTATGTTATGTAATTCCAAGTGTTTGGCCATGAAACAATTAAGACACAATAAGATAAAAAAATGTAAAACTTAATTAACACACTACTACTAGATTCACTACTAGGTGTAGCTAGGGGTGTACTAGGTTACTTACCCCATCTTTGAGATCTCTGTTAAACGCTCCGTTTAGGTATTCAAGTGACACATCATCGTTTTCGTTTAACCATTGCATCACAAACGGCTCAAACCATGAAGGATACTCAGGAATAGTATCCTTGAATGGAGGGCAGTCTTTCACGTAGTTGGTGTACAGCCATTTCACCTGAACAAAGTAAACATTAATAATGACAAAGCGTCCCAATCATTAACAGTTAAGGGAGTGTAGGTAAGTTCAGTTGCCATGGGACTGTATGTGGACGATTAATTGTTATGTGGGACATAGCATTGGTCTGCATTGTATGCAAATAGGGATGAAGGTAAATGGAACATTATGTAATAAAATATACATGCAAGAAGTATACCTTTACCAAACCACATGTAGACCAATCAATATTACTCTAAACCAAATGATTAAAAATCTGTTCAGGTTTTTCATTGAGACTCTTTTTACATGTGCATAATTTTATATTTAAAATCAGGAAGCTTATATTTTTCTTTATTTAATTTTTATGGATAAAAACTGAATTAAACTTTTTACTCTCTTGGATAAAAATGTTGCCTTCTATCTACTAGACCAGACACAGCTTTAATAAAACAAAATCCTTGATATAACTTTTACTAGTTAAGTTCCCGCTGATTCAAAGTTTTGATGATGTTTGATTGCATTGATAATAAGAAAATTGAATACTTAAGATTTACAGTGAGTATTTTTATGTTTTTACCTTAAAGTGAAGATTCATGTAAGCGGAAGACTTGACAGGCTGCACAGCTACCTTCTGTCTGTTGGCTTCGTGTTCTTCCAATGCATACTTCTGGTCCATTCCAAACTGTACCCACATAGTGCCTGCTGATAACTAGAACCAAGAAATTGCAACATTGAAATAGTAGTTTACGCAACGATCGCGTAAAGATAGTGTCGTTAAGGATATTTAAATGAGTTGCGTACACTTCTTACCACTACAATTTTTATTATGTTTTTCCTCATCTTATGAATACAAAAGTACAATTTTTTTTTTAAATTTTTTTGTTGAATACAATACATACATACACAGTAAAAAGAAAAGTAATGTAGCAAACGGCTGATTTTACGTGCAAATCAAAGAATCTACCTACTTCTACTATGTCATCTTCCAATCAAGCTGACCACCATATCCCAGCACATGTCATGTGTGTCTTTCAACTGTTTAGGCATAAATAGTTGTAAGCCGTATTACTATATTGTAAACGATACTAGCTGTTACCCATCGGCTTCGTCCGACAAACCTTTGTGTTCTATTACTACAACTACTACGAGCCTGCTGAAGCCATGACTTCACTAAAGGGCTAAAATGAACTTCTGCATTAATTTACGTTATTACACATTAGAGTTTTTGACTCCCAGGTTAAAGCATATGTCAGGTGGAAATTTGGTTAAGTTACTCCTGTGTACCATGTCTTTGAAGCTCAAAGAGGTAAATAATAATCCTCTGGTTATTGTTACACACCTGTCCGATATTAAGCTCTTGAGGAAACTGATTCAGCACGGGAGCGTAGCTGTTTCTGTCCTCCTCTATCACAGACACAATGAGAGCGATCAGTTTGTGCCAGAAGTCGAGGGAGTCTAACCGCGGCCCTGTGTCCTCCGGGTCTCGTTTGGGCTCGTTGGGATCCACCTGCAATGCACAACAGGATGTTAATTTAAATTTACAAACCCCATAGTTGTTACTGATAACATTAGTCAATTAGTTCTTCCCTTTTCATTTAGTTAACGAAACAACATGCATGTAATTATGTCCAAGGAAATAATTTTTGCTATTATTTTTTTTTTATTGATAATAAATATTCTTGTAGGCTACATATTAAAAATATAGAATCATTGTTCAATGCATTTTTCAATTTTATGTCCAGATTGAACATAAGCTTGTAACTACAGACCCTTCATTTTCATGATAAAGCTATATCATTGACTTTGAATACCGTAGTAAAAAGACTTCTCATCCTATTATTAAATCTAAAGCTTGTTTTAATTTCTTATATAGGGAATAAGCTATTACTGTAGTACTGGTAAGACATGGACCTGGAACCGATTTACTTTTTTGTTTTGAGGTCCCTAGAGCCCAAAAACACCATCCTTTCAAATTCATATATAGGATATATATTATAAACATATTTAAATATATATAATATATATATGTGTGTGTTCGTTAGCACGTTAACTCAAGCAAAAATGATCTGATTTCGTTGAAATTGGGTACCTACATTCATTCCAACGAGTTTGCAAACCACCATGATTGGACTATGGGAACGGGGGGGTTTATGGGGGGTTTTATGGGGTAAAAATTGGTTTTTCCCATATTTGACCCTAAAACATAAAATTTAGTATGTTGAAGCGTGATTATGCGCCTAATGGTTACAGGGAAAATTCCAAAAATTTTTAAATTTAAAATTTTCATGTTATTCTTATGAAGAATAAGTAAAATGTTGTAGTTCGCTTGTTTATGAACATATTTTGATCAAATTTGGAAAATCCATTTTATTTCTTACTAAACTATTAACATTTTCCAAAAAATAACCCACCCATTTTTTTACCCTCCCTGTTGCAGCAAACCTAAGTCAGTTACTCGTTAAACTAATTCTATTTAAATAGGGAATAAATGTCATATGTATTTTATTTCATATATACATTGGTTAGGATATACATTTTAGTGTAAATCAAATCAGGCAAATGGAAATTCGCTTAGTCTACAGATTTGCTGCGGCAGGGGTATTTATGTATTACATAGCATGAAAAACTGAAAGCATTTTTGGCGATAGTGATGAGTGTCCATTATCTGACAGATTATTGTAGACATTTCACTTGATGATCAGTTAAAAAAATACCGAAACATCACAAAACTAACTTTCTTCTAATTGTGATGGAAAATGTTGGCAACAATCAGTAAGATAATGTAAACTTCAATAGTTGCACTCACTACAAGTGGTTCTTCCAACTATGCCTTTAAATAAAACACCAGATATAGTTGCTCCATATTAATGGAATGTCTAATTCAGTATTTAATGTCAATTGTCAGTGATAAACTTAACCATATCAGGCAATATGAGAACAAGGCACATTTGAAGATTAGGTAAGCCTTGGAAGGGGTATCGTCTACTTGTTAAAGTAACTACATTATCATTTTCTCTGGATATTCCTTGTGCATAATTAAAAACACAACAAATCTGCCTTTTTCAAATTGTATGTAGCAATATTAAAAAATAAGATTTTATGCAGTGTTAATTAACTTAATTTGAAATAAAACCAGAATTTGGATAACTGCATAAAAATCATACATAGCCAATTTTAATGACATTTTAAGGAATTTTACTAATAAATTGTTTTTAAAAGGATTAGTTAACACTTTTAATTTAGTGCCCATCACCTATGGACCAAGTGTGTAAAGGCCACTAATTTAACTCTCTAATACTTATAAAAAAATTCTCTCCCAAAATGTTGTGTGTGCAGTAACACACCTTAAAATTTATTTTCCTAATGTTACATTTATTGTCCAAATCTTTACTCATTCAGCAAATATAAAATCAAACAATAATCCATCTTACCATTGTGACAACCAAAATACCTTTCATGCTACTTCTAAAAAACATTTGATGGAAACCAATAGATTCTACAGTAGGATATGTCAGAATGTCAGAAATTTGACATTTCCTAATGGATATCAGCTTATAATTTACTTTACTATTCATCTGCAAAGCATAGTAACCTAAACCAAACACTTGACTACGGATTGTTTGTTAATTTCAACTAGAGCAGATACAACAATTTCAAACAAAAAGGATTAAAAAAAACTGGGCATCACGTAGAGGTTTTTGTAATCAAACAAAATCACTCCTTCAACGCAAACCCTCAAATAAAACACAAAAATACCTTAAACTACAATCAACTGCTTGGTAAGGCAACAACTTGTTAAAGCATAAAGCCTAAACTTACATAAGCTTCTGATCAGCTAAAAACCTTCGTAACTTACCATGGCCTTATATTGTTTAGTGGATAGAAAATTATTATTATTAGTGAAACTTCCTGTCAAAAAAGGTTTTAGAATTAGGTGAGCTAGTTACAATAACTCCTTAGAAAGCCATTAAGTGCTGTGATACGTAAATGCAATAAACTGTGTATTTGTGTATCATATATTGAATATGTTTTGTAAAACACTAAACAATTATTTTCAGTTTTAAATTTAGAAAAATACACGTAAAAGTTCAATTTAGTGAGGTATGAAGTAAAATGCAACATTATAAATCCATATACCATGACTTTTTCTGTAACATACCTAATAAGGATTAACTGGATACAACTTCAATAAGCAATTTGCTTAAACCAATCTAATTTATATCTGATCTGAATAAGTTTGCTTAAAAATGTGTTTACGAAAATAAATTAACGGGTACCCATGCAATCCAATGAATCCTGTTGATAACTAGGTTCATATAAGTACATCATCATTGGGGCTAATCATAGTTGGGATTCAACTTTATGATATAAGCCCCACTTTTTTAAGCCACTTTTTTTGCCACTTTTTTAAGGATAGTCAGGTTATAAAGTTGTAGCTCCCACAAATAACTATGTAATCTGTACTGACTGTAGAAAATTATCTTGATAGCAATCATAGGAAGTTTTCATTTAAGAGTTAAAATTTTTTTATAATGGTTTTATTCCCTTCAGTTTTGGTTGCAATTTGGGGTTGTTGCAACTTATCAAAATACAATGTAAAAACTCTATTACCTGATACTGTAAATACTCAAACTGCAGGAGATAACAACATTTACAACCAAAAGGACTCCAATAAACGTGTGGTCACAAACACCAGAAATGTTACATAAATGATGCATTGCAAACAACACTAGTGTCCAGTGATTTTAATAAATACATAGGCTACGAATGGGAAGAATAACTAACTGAAGTTCTATTAAAAATTAAGGTGTCACAAAGTGTGCAACAGTTCTATTTTACATAAAAGTTGGTTGGACAAAACAACTTTAGTATAACTAAAAATAAGATTACCTCTAAATAATTTGACCTATCATTCAACATATAACTATCTAAGTGTTTCATGGGCTAAAAAGGATCATATTCTGTTTTGGGTAGGACACAAATGGATACCATAGAGTCACCATAGAATGAGAAAATTAATGGTGAAGAAATGAATTACTGTATCTTCAGGCTGATGGAAAAAACAGGTGCACTCTTGATCGTTGGTTTTTATACTCATCCACCAGCGGAATTAAGACACTGTCACTCAAGATCATACTTTCAGGGTCAGAGGAATGTGTATAATTGTATTGCAAATTTTGTGGTATGGGAGATATTCAACGTAGAGTCAGTTCTCTTTGCCTGATAAATACTTTTTCTACTTCGATAGGCGAACCCTAAAGATTAAAGGTTAAAGGTGGGTTTAAAAACCCTAGGACTTGCCACTTTTACATTATCAGTTATCACATAGCTATAAGTAAGGTGATGAACAGGATTTGAACTCAAGTCCTCGGGCTAGAAGTCTTGTGTTGTAGAACAGCAGTACCCCAAAGAGTGTGATAATACCTATACTATAAAAACATTTCTACAGCAATTTACGACAGTGCTTGAGTACGAGTTCTATTTCCATTTCACAAGTTTCATCAGAGAGTTTTTATAGTTTATTTAGTATACCTGGAATTCTCTGCTGTATAGTTCGTAGCAGTTTTCAAAGAGGAACTGATATGTGGACCTGAGGCAAGCTTTGACACAATCCTTGACCACAGTGCTGGCCCGTGGCGGACTGGATAACTCTTGCACCTGAAACAGGCAAAATAAATATTCAACATGCTTTACAACAAGTTTCATACAAGTAGTGAAAACATAGGTGATTACTTTGACAATAGATCCACTACTCTGCAAGGGAATTACCTTACTTATTTCATAGATGCAAGTCCTAGAAGCATAACATTTGGATGAATGAATAGTGTTTGATAATATTGCAATAAATCAGAGAGTGTTAGGGATTTTATAAAATTTTACTGAAACCTATACTAGGCTGACCTTCATTCGGAAGAACGTGATACTTGTGAGTAGATCGACAGTTGACTTGAGATCCATCAGTTTCTCTTGACTAGAGGCTGGGAAGTTGTTGCGATACATGGACAAGTCAATGCGTAGAGAGTTATGCAGCTGATCCAGCAGCTTGACAAACTTCTCTTTCTGCAGAGAGGAGAAGTAGTATGTAGCAAGGTGTATTAAATTTCATCAGTAGATGGTATAATATGTAATGTAATGTAATAAAAGAAAAATAACATTATTTGAGGAACTATTGCTCAATTTCCCGTAATGATAAGTTTAAAAAGTTCCACAACATTTTGATATCTGGCAGTCTTATGTAGGTGGTTGTCTGAATCACAAAGTTCTGTATACTTCTGTATACTCTGTATCAAACTAAAATGAAGTCCATACACAATACCGGTTCTTAAAAATGTTTTATGTTTCATCAATGTTCCTTAATTTAGTGGTGAAATTTGCCTACAATTTTTTGTGCTCAAGTGCATTATGTTACTTATTTGAAAAGTTCTATATTATTATGAGCTTTAACATATTACTGTTGTTTCTGTATCTGATAAAGTATATGACTGGCCAAAAGACTTGGGACCAATTCAGACACCCTTTGTTTATTTTTCAACTTTCAATTGGACTGCTTTATTGAGATTCTTTTTAACAAAAGGTTGTGTTTGTATTTATTTATTTTTATTATTTATTCATGACATAAACAATTAATTTTCTAATACTTAGCTGCATAAGCCTTATAAAAAAGGCTTGTCAGCAGCATTTCTTATAACACTAATGACTTTTCCGTAACTTGAGCCAGTGAGATAGATAAGACAAAACTTTGGACCTTACACAAATATTTAAAAAAATCTTTGGTGCAGAAAAATGCTAACACAAAGATACAAAAACAAAAAGAATTACAGAAAAAGACCTACACCAAAATTGGAAGCAGCAAATCTATCACTAGCGGAGACGGCGGAAGACGCAGTGGTGTGTGCGTAGTATGCGTTGATGTTGGCTAGGAGTGTGCTCATAACAGCTGGTACTCCCGGACACAGGTACTTGGTGGATAAGCAATGGAAATGCCTGCCAACATGATACTAGATTCAGCTGTGTTTCATAACTATAATATATAATATAACATTCTCTAAAGGGTTGTATAATTTTACTTGATAGTTAAAAAGTGGAAGAAGGACATCATTCAGAGATGAGACTAACTCATCTAAAAGTGTTCCAGGCAGTGTGTATAACTTCTATAGGGAGAACTCATGATCCAATCCTATTTAAAACGTTCGCTGCTGACAACTCCGATCAGAGTCATGTTGTACTGGCACAGCGTGCGTAGGACTCCGGTTGGAGTCACGGTGCAGTGTTATACAAGTTGGTCTACTGTGACCTCCGCATTTATCGGGTATCAACTAAACCATGTCAGCATGTTGTGCTGGTCCTATACTTAAATTTGGTGTAGATTGGGTTTAGGTTGGTAGTAAAATCCCGTCTGGCAACGCTTTTTGTTTCGTTATCAGGGATTCTCTCTCTTCTTACATTACAAAGACATTAGCTACGGATCCAGGCAGTGCTGCTATCTGTGAGTTTTTCAGTGAACTATGTCCACTCTCGGGTTAACACAGCACCATTACCACTGCTGTTTTGACGCTGTCCAGACTGAAATATTTTAATGCTATTGCATTCCCTGATTCACTGGCGTGCGTCGCATTTCCGACCGTCCCGCCAAAGGGATTCTCGCAGCGAACGTGTTAAAGTTGCAGCTTCTTTCAAATTTAAAAATGCATGGTGTTCAACTGAGCTTTTGACAAAGTGTGCTGATTATCAGTTGCTTGGTGATTTCCTGTTCTACACTTACTTTCTAAAATTAAAACTGAAAGATCAAATTATTGTGAACTAGTATTTTTCAAATCGTAACAATGAATTATGATGGCATCAGAGAGAAAATAGAATTTGGACATTTTAGCTTACCTTTTTACTGAAGATTCCACCCAATCACAATCTTTTACATATTTTAAGTGATTTTAATATACTTTTCAATAAATAGACGAATACACTATTATAAAAAAAAAAAAAAATACTAGTCAGAAACAAACTATTATTCAAATACACTTACGTCATTGCCTGGTATATTGATTCAATGCCATATCTCATTGCGAACTCATCAACAATTTCCTCGCCTGGTTCGTCAAAGTAGACTTTCCAAGCATCATCCCCCTTGGCTTGAGGAAGTTTCACCATTCCAAAGTTCTCTTCGCACAGATAGTGGAACAGATTCTCATGAAGGCACGTATATTGCACATGGTAAGGCGCGACCTAAAATGTTGATCGATTACAATATAACAGTTTAAAAACAGTGCACTACTCTTTGAAGAAATACTACATCAGGACGATATATCAGAGCTGTGTTTTGTGTTCTTTTATCGTGTAAGTATCGGTCCTTGGACTCTAATCTTCCCAGGTAAGCTTGCTGAATTGATTCCTTTACACAAAATTCCTTGCAAGCCAAATGGTTTAAATTATAATCAAAATAATTTCTTAGCAAAGCTCCTACCTTTTCCTCTCCCTTGATCTCGACGCTGATATGTAGTCGGATAGCTCCAGAAACAGCTGACTTATCTGTTCGTTTCTCCAGATTGTACCATACATCCATCTCACCTGACAGTGTTCTAACCTAGAAATAACATTTATTTTAATGTTATAATAATACCAGTGTTTTCTAAATAAATCCTGCTATCTGATGTGAAGATCACTGCGGCTTATGAACCATAAGTGAAATTTTCCAAAAAAAGAAGTTTAGCTTGGTTATGACATGTTTTAGAGATGGTACCATTTTTTAATCCAACAGCACAAATGAAGAAAAATTATCCCATTTTATGGTTGCTTTTAATGTTGCTCCGTTAAAGCACTAAATTCAAACTCAAAATACAATGCAAGTATCTAAAAGCACTTTTGGACCAAGTAAAAAGTGATTTAAATCTATTCATGTCTAATTAATTCATGAAAAATATAATTTTAGTTCAATTTGAACTGAATATAATATAAATAATTCTATGAATTCTCCTAATGTTTTTTAACAGTGAAGTAGTTGTGATGTTTGATGTAAAAATCAATGAGATCTGGATGTTAAGTATCCAACTATGTCTATGGCAAGTATCCATTTTCAATGATTTTCAATTTTATATTCTTTTATCTGTATGTTTAAAAGCTACAAATACTCATTGAATGTTGTACCATGCCACCTTACCAAGTATAAAGTTTGATTTGGCTAATTATAATAATCAGATTCAGTTACAGTTTGATCCTGAATTCTGTGGGGAATATGTCACCCAAAACTTACTTCAATTATAGTCTGACCCAAGAAATCATCAGACTCGCGTGTGAGTTTCTGGCGCAGTTTGGACTTGAGGTCGTTGTCTTCATCCCACACTCTCACCTTGATTCTGTCTGAAGAGTTGTGACACTCACTAGAAAAAAAGATTATCAGTGTCAGAAATCTTTAGTCATTAGTTTTAAAATATATGAATTCAGAATCGCATCAATAATCTTTCTCAAATTACTCAATGAAAGAGCGGTAAGATTTGTTTATTACAAATACGAGGGGGCCGTCCAGAAAGTAACGGACATTTCAGATCGGCGTTGCTTGTTGACCCTTTTACCTTCAAATTCTTCTTTAGGGTCTTGAATCATTTATTACCACAAATAAATAGCCAGAAAAAGTTATAGAATATAGAAACCGCAGCTACAGGGCTTTTGATTAAAACTCTAAATTATGTGTCACACCTGGACCACGAGCTACCTTTATGCCAAATTTCAGCCTAGTTGGGTTCAGTCGTTTTTTTAGTTCTTCCAAACAGACATGCCTCCCTATATTGTTATGGGTGAATAAAAACAATAAACAGTAAAAAAAAAAAAAAAAACACTTACAAGTAAAACTTTTCATTCCATACGGGGTTCAACTCTGCAGGCATTGTTCTCGTCCTCTTCTTCACTTTACCTACTTGTACAGTAACGTAAGGGTCGGAAGTTCCACTCTTGTCTTTTGCTATCAAACCCTGGGCACAGATCACTGCAGAAAGAAGAAAAATATCAGTCTCAAAAGTTACTTGCAGAAACATTTATGGGGAATATTTATACTCTGTTCAAACATACATGACAATTTTATGATTCTTATTTCATTCCTTTGTTTTAAAATTGACAGACTGAATTAGGCTGACTAAACTTTTTCATTAAATCTTGACTGTAGACAAGACTTTTATAGAATAAAAAAAAAAGCAATTCATTAATCATATTTCAAAGATAAGAACATTTGATATAAAAAAAATACCTGAATTTAAGATGAGAATTTTTGATTGACATAAAGAAGGTATGATAAAAGATAAAAATAACTCCAAGCAAACATAGCAGGTATGTATTAATTCTAATTGTTATCAATGCGAAATAAAGAACTCTATTAAGAATAACATTAACCCTTTATATTTAATTATTCAATGTATTCTAGAATTCTATTCTATTATATATTATATAATATTCTAGAAAACACATTTAGATATATTTTATATCAATATAGTTTCATGTAATATCATGAAAAGCTACCTTTAAAACTGTTATAACTTCAAAAATCATAAATGAAACTCTTGAGGCAACACAACACTGAGTAAGTGGTTCCAAACCTCATTAGTGAAATAATTATAAATATTAATAATTCCTAATGCAAAAATTATTTTATATCAGTTCATATTTCACACAAATCACCACTCATACAGAAATTGCCATGGAAAATGTATTAACAGATAATAAATACATTACTAAGCATACATTATAAATTATTCAAAGTGAAAACTTTCTGAGGCAATAATATCAAATATATAATGTGTAAAACATGCCTCTAGCCAATTTCAACATCACTATAATATACTTGTGAGATAACTATAAAAGGTAATAGTAAATATTGTAACAAAACTACTCATAGTTTACTATAAACGTTATTTAGACGTTTAAATTGCAATAAGACCTAAAGTATACAGGAAGTAATCATGCCGATGAAAAACAGGCTGCTCTAGAAAGTAGACTACCTACTACAGCTGAAATATCATTATCAACATCTACAAACATTAGTATTACATTACTAGAAACTACATAGTCAAGTAAAATGAAAGATATCTACAGAAAGATTTTTATTGCTATAAGTATTATCTTTTTCATCAGATTATAACTAGTGGATAATTTCAATTGTACTTTATTAAAACTTACAGTACTTCATTAAATCTATATATTTTTAAATTGTTTCATCTATGTTGTGCTAGTAAAAGTACTCAAACAGTAACTCAATGTTTAGTATGGATTTATTTTTTTGGGTTATATTATATCCTTGCAACTTAATAGAATTTTAAATTTTCTACACAAATAAAAAGTTAGAAGATTGGTTTGTTTACTTTTGTGGTTGTATTTACTCAATGTAAAAAATGGCAAACATTGAATTTTTGTGCACCTATTATTTTAAGCTTCAAGTCAGCCACATGGCGATTCCTTAGAATTCAATTTTTGCTAGTGGTTGTGATAAATGAATGAAGAAATGGTTAATGATTACGTTACATCAAACAATTAGCTAGCAATGATTACAACAATGAGAAGCTATTTTTAAGTAAACTTAATATTAAATAATTTAGTAGCTGAAATAATATTTTAACACTTAACGTTGATTCGCAATGCGCAAACATTGAACACATTGGCAGTATTTTGTTGTGCAGCTTGTTTAATTTCACTATCTTACCCAGTAACAATAAGTGAAGAAGAAGAAGAAGATAAAGAACTTCAGGTGGAAGAATGATAAAAATGTGTCTACTGAATCGGAGTAAAATGTATTGATATGAACTGGCAACCAAAATAAATTTCAAAGTCGATTCAAGTTTGAGCAATGTCCTCATAAAAAAGTGAAAAGTGTTGAAAAGTGAGTAGAGAGGAAAATATTGTGCTAGTTTGTGCATTTGTATAATTGTGGTCCTTAACTAGATCAGAACACTTGTTGATTAGTTTATATTTTAAAAAGTATCGAACATAGCCTTTAAGTTTTACGGTACTTTCAAACATTGATTTACTGTACAAAAATTATACAACTCCTCAGGTTTTGAAATTTGTTTTGGTTCTGTGTATATATCTGGCTTAACACATTCTTGTATTCATGCAAAATTGAAACGTGTTGACAAAAGATCATTCATAATTTAATTTCTCTTTGACTCATATAATTCTTTTGGTAAATATTTAGTTTGTACTATGATAGTGGTTTAAATACCTTATTCTTGCAATCCAATTGTTGTCTTCACAACTATTCACACAACTTCACAACAATTGGATTGCAAGAATAAGGTATTTAAACCACTATTATTATTCGCAATCCGGAGGCTACTCACACCACAATGAATTTAGTTTGTTTTCACAAGATATATTTTTTAAATTAGGATCTGTTGTGTAAATCATACCCTATACACAACAACCCAACAAAAGAATCAACTTAAGATGGTTTTATAAACCTCATTAAAATTAAAGTTCAAACAAAAATTAGAAATAATATCTTTGGATGAAAATAATGTCAAAAGATGGGCCAGGTACTTTATTGGGTTGGCATGAAATGTTCCCATGCTTCCCTTTATTTTACAACAAGTAACAACAGTTTTGGCAGTATTCCTGCATTAGTGAATTTAATAAATCTTAAGATCTGACAAGCAATTTCGAAAAGATCCCTTATATAACCCTAATAGATTTAAAAAATCCTATATCGGTAAAAAATATACATAAAACATTACATTACTTTAAACCTTTTTGTTTGAAAAAACATATCAATTGGTCATAGGAAAATAAAAACTTGATGTACGGTAGCCCCACATTTAAAAAAGGATTGAAAACAGTTTGGTTGCTGCGTGGGGAATTGGGTCTATGAAATAAAATTGTCTAATTATTGTTCGAAATCTAATTTACAAAACAAAACAAAAAAGTTTAAAATAGGCCTACTCTAAAAATTTATCTTATTAAAAATTGCATAACTTTTTTGTGAAATTGATCAGAAAACCTTGAAGGTTAAGATTTGGTGGTTATCTCCTTGTTAAGCCAGATACACTTGTCTAATCTAGATGTTAGTTTCCCATGTCCTACGGGGTTGTATGGGGTTATACGGGGTGTTGCGTGATCAGATGTGGTTCTGTCAGCTTTGCACACCAGCAGGCATACCAACACGACACATCTACATGTCATACCATATGATGCGGGAGAAATATATGAGAGGTTTAAGAACAACCTAAACAATGCAAACAATTGAGGAAGATTTATGACAATTTATACTGCTAATTGATTTTATGATAGCTTAGCATTCTCTTTCAATACCATAAAAATGCCATATGGAACTATGGCTTTGGTGTAGACACAAAAAAAAATCGTACATAGCAAGTTAATTTGGACAGTTTTTTGTGAGCAGATATAATACATCTGAAATTATTCACCAAAATTTTATTTTTCTGTTTATATGTTAATTTAGTTTTTGGTGCTGTGTTAACCACCGTTTTAATCAAGCTTAATCATGAGCATCAGAATATTTATATATTTATTAGGTTTAATTTAAAGTAGATCACTGAACAAATCAATAATTGTAATCAATGAAGGTGATAAGCAAATTTTAATCCACTTCATCTGTAACCATTTACACATCTAATAAAAGTTGTAACCCCTCAATGAACTTTTGGTGAATTGCAACAAAATTATTCATCAGGGCAGGATCGTTGACATTTAAAGAACCTAGTTAATGTAATGGTTTGAAATCTGTCTGCAAGTTAATCAAACTTTTATATTTCCAAGCATAATAAACAAGAAAGAAGATTGTTCTTGTTTACGTTGGTGATTATATTTACCCAATATTATAATGTATCATCACATATTTACTGTGCAAATGTAGCGCTCAATTTCAATCAACAGGTTTACTCATTTGCAATTAATTATTAGTCAATCTAGTCATTTATATACTTTCATAACTGAGTGTTAGGAGTTAGTTATTACAAAAATAATTTTTTGGGAATTGAAATTCTATAGTTTTGTATACCTAAGGATTTTATTATTTCACACATTAAATTAAGAAATTATTCATAGTAAATTTTTAATAAATAAATTGACAGAGGAAAATTAGCCCAGGGGAAGTATGACATGTAGAATAGTCAGTCGGTGGCAGGCAATGTGGCTTGCTCGAGCCTAACCTGTGATAGCGATTTTGCAGGACCATTTGGACGTGCCCTCAAGCACAATGGCCTCGGCTTGGTCCAGCGAGTCTATATGAGTGTCAGGATCCATCGTGAAAGTCTTTCTGTTGATCAAAACAATTAGAACACTGACAGACAACAAACAAACAATCAGGATGCAATCTGCAGGCTGGAACCCGGGCTGAAACACTGAGCAGGAAGAGGAAAAACTGTGTGAGGAGTGGGGGAAAATGGGGAAAACAGTGACAAGCGGAGGATTGAGGAAATATATGGCGAGGAGTAGGAAATAAAAACAGAGAGGAGATGAAAAATAGTGGATAAAAACATAAAACTTTGATCTTGGGAACACTAAAACAAAAAAAAAAACTAAAAATGTTATCCATTATCAACAGAAGAAAATGTCTAGGTTTAAAAAAGTTTGATTAACTGAATAGTGAATAGTTGTAAATCTTAATATCTTACTTAAAAGCTGTTATTCTTTATTGAAACCAATAATGATAACGTAATATTATAGTCATAAGTATATATACAGGCATTGGTTAAATAATTTATAGGTCCTTTACTGAATTGGTCTACCATAAGTTAATGTTAACCATTTCAAAAACAGCATTTCTATATGAATTAATCATAAACTAAAATGTTATTAGAAAGGAGTATTTATGGGCGATAAAATTTAAATGTTATTTTCCAATACAAATCACAGCTTTTTAATTGTACTAAAATGAAACATTTAATTGTTGTAGCAAGAATAATGCAAAGGGAAATTTAATGTTGCAGCTGTTGGTACAACTGAAGGCAATTTCCCCTGGATAGCGGCAAAGTTATTCCCGACAACAAGGTTAGTTGCTATCGGCTAACGAGAACATTTCTTCTCTCTCAATAGTGATCAGTTGATTTATCTGATAAACTTTATCTGTGTTGTAAGGTACCTCTGATTGATTTGTCTGATTTATTTATTTGAACAGTAATGTTTAAACTTGTTACATATGGGTAGGCCTACATGAAAATGTGTTATTGAGTTAAATTTACAAATTGAACTGGTAATTTTTTCTTGGTGTTAGCTTTTTTTAGAAATAGTTTGAATAAAAATTTATTTATAATGTGTCATCTTATTTGTTCCTCAACACATAAAAAAATTATATTTATTTACAGGACAACCAAAAGTATAACAATTAAGGAGGACACAGAGAACAAACTAAAACTAAAACTATACAACCAAACCCAATCAAACAAAAATGTGCTAATGGGAAAAGAGAGGAAGATACATACAGACAGTTTTACAACACACCATCAGCCATAGAGTATTTCATGGGCAGAATCACGTCACAAACCTGTAATTGCGATCTTAGCCGACCATTTGGAGGTTCCGTCAAGTACAGACTGCTTCACTGCCTTCATGTGCCCGATGTGACTCTTCTCCTCCGCACCGAAAATCGCCCTAGCATCAGCACGACAGGTTCACAACACAGCCAACAAGAACTTACACTCATCAAACTCTGTTTTACTGTATGGCAACAACACGTAAAAGAAATGGTGGTGCCCATTTTATACAAATACCATTCCATATGTCATAACTACCTATAAAATAATACTCCATTTGAGGGTAAAGAAAAAAAAGTAAATTACAAAGGTGCATATTATGTTAAAATATTCACTGTCAACGAGTTTCCTTATAAATTAAGGGTGAATTTTCAAAGGCTTTTTTCCTAAAAATTTTCTTATCCAGAAATTTTTTGACAAATGTAGAGAAATTCTCAAATTTCAGGAACTATGAGTTGAAAACTAAGTCAACTACTTCGCTGCCTATAATAATTAAGGTGAGCTTCACCTTGCACATATGAGCATCCATCGAGACAAACAGACCTAGTTAAAGTCTCGCACCGATGTCATGTACCTTACTTCATACACAACTTTTAGCCAGTGCCCACCAAATTAGCCTCATCATAATGGCTTAATTGTGACGATTATCTCATAATAGTAGTCTAAAACAATTGTTGGTTATTCACTATTTTGGCCATGTATGAACTGAGATTATGTTTCTGAGGGGCGGAGCTTGGTGAAGACTTTAATCTATGGATCTATGGATGGTACATAATACTTTTAGTTCTTATTAGTCACATAATTTATTTATCTAAATTTAACTTTTCTGTTGTTAACTTTAATGTCAGTGGATGAAAAAATAAATGGTTAAACTAGGTTATTTACGCAGCCCTGATACAATTTAGAATGACTTTTAACTAAAAATCTGGTGTTTCAGTAACTTGTAGATACCCTGCTGTTTGGAATCAAACAAACAGAGGGCAAGACAGAAAATCAAGAACTTTGTGAAAATTAATGGCAGAATTGAGTACAAGGTAGCAAGCAGTACAGGACGTAAAATATCTCAGGAAACAGCTGCATTCACAGTAAAAAAGTTCCATGAAACCATAATGATTCGTAAGTTGTATAATAGCAACACAAGGGAAAGGAGCTTTGTTTATTATTAATACTTAGAACATAACGGTTCTTTGATATCTAAGTGCAAGGTAAAAAGTTCTGTTTGTTTTGAAGTGACCATTTATATTCTGATCAAATTCCGCTCTGGTTGAAAGGAAGAGAGTTTGGAGGGTTAACAGATAGTTACTTTTATTAGATGGTTATTGAGGGTTAATTTTGATCTAAGAATTAGGTAAGCGTAGAGCCAGTAGTACTTTTACTGACCCCTTAACCTAAATCCTTGATTATCCATAATTAATTTTTGTGATCTTCCATCTAGTTTACAATTTAAAGTTTACCTGAGAGTTCATTGACTATAACTTAAAAAATAAGCTAAAGTGCTAATTTTGTGTCCATATTAATCTGCAATCATTATCTAGTTAGTTTCACTGGTTAACATGGAATCAGTTTTTGTCCAGTTAAAAAAATTAACATGAAACATAAATGCAAACCAAAATGAATTAAATTCTATAAAACAAATTTCGGCCCATGTAATTGATTATTCACTTGATTAATGTTGATATTAGTCCAACAGATTTACCGTACTTACCTCAAAATTAAAATATTAAAATGTCCAAAAAAGGCAATGTGAACTAAACATACAGGTATGATGTCCTTATATACAGCTTACTAGCTATTATTTTCTCAATGAAATCTGTTACCCCATGCAAAATATGTTTAGGGATGAAAAAATCCTGGTTACTGAGTTTTTTTTTGTAATAACCCTTTTTAATATTAGTGTTATTCATTCAGTAGAGATTATTATTTATTGTTTAAACTAATTATGACAAGAAGTAAACTTACATATCTGACAAAAAATATATAATATTTTCTAGGTGAACTGTCTTAACTTATTCAATTGTTAAAAATATAAAACCAGGCTGGTCTGCTAAAAAATAAATTAGTTTACTTAAAAGTGCGGAAACACTCTACTCTTTTCTTCTTACACTTATTTTAACTTTAGGTAGTTTGTTACTTAAGTAGTTATCTATTATATAGACAGTTCTATCTATTATATAGACAATTAATTATTAAACACACCTTATCAGCTCAAAGATTTCTGGCTTTTCCCTTTCCCTTTGCTTCATCCTCTCTTTCATTGCTGTTATTATTGTATTTGCTTTGTCTTCTGCTCCATGCTTTGAGCTCTTTTCCGCAGCCCCTGAAACATGTTGTCAGATGGTTAGATCGAAGGCCAGTCCATGAGACAGAGCCACATTTCCAAACACACACACACACACACACATTGGCTGTGGCGTGTTACATTGGTAAATCTAGTTTACTAAGCACCTTTAGCCCATATTTACCACATATACTACATTTTTTTAATTATAGATGTACTTTACGAAGAATTTCTTTCAAAAATCTACAAACACCAATTAATGTGCTACACAACACTCCATACCTACATACCCACTAAATTTCAAACTCTACATTAACCTTCTGCAAGGACCTAATGAAGATACATTAAACTAAGAAAAACAAACAGAAAACAAAGAAACTGAGTCTTAAATAATCAGTATTTAGTAAACTTGTGTTGAATAAATACGTATTTAATTTCTCTCATTCTAAAGGTTTATTTACAATGATCTCCCCAAATTGCTCCTATCTCTATCCATACGATCATCAAATTGAAGCACTTTACCTGTAAGAATTTCAAGTGAGAGTTTATTAATATAGTATAATCATTGTCAAACTAAGGAGGTTTGAATTGAGAGTTTTAAATTAAATTGTTTCATAAAGGATACATTATCACAAGTTCTATATCGGTAATTAAATTAAACTAAAATGTTTCAAAGCACAACTAACTGTGGTTATTCTTTGTTAGGCAATACATTAGAAACAGTTCAAAACACCATTGCAACATAATCAAGATGAATGACTTCTCTCGGAGACAAGGGATCTGTGCTTCAAACTAAACATTTATGATAGTCCAACTCCACCTAAACAAATTATGTATGGGTCAACTAGTTATGAGCCCAGGCAAGATTGAGATATAGAGGTGTGTGTATGTACAATATATATTATAAAAGAATTTAAGGTAAACACAACCTGTTTTTCTTGTTAACATTTAGTGTTTCCAATAAAATGCATTAAACAAGGGTTCTTAGTTGTTAATAATGTTTTCAAATACACAAACTTCATATTTTCTCATCATGTTGTGAGTTCATATCACAAACCTAATTATAAGTTGACATTCTTAGTTTGGTTGTTTTGGCAATGCATCGGAAAGGTGTGACATACTATTGCAAAAATACTAATACAAACAAGACAAAGACAATATTTAACCTCCACAATTTAGTGTACGATACAGAAAAATTATATGAGCGAGAAGTGTGCAAAGCTATGTTGAAAATTTTGAAAGTGAAAAAAAAAACAAGAACCTATAATGAAAAGTGTGCTAAACCTTTTTTGAGTTCATTAGGAGTTCCTAAACAGTGATTCACTGAGGAGGACCAATGGTAAATGGAGCTGACTCCAACTCAAGATACAAAGAGCTTTTGTGGCATCAAAGTGCATTGTATTTGGCACTCGAGTTTCACCCTCGCGCCTTTGTACTCGAGTACCAATACCAACTGTTTGGAATGTGATCGCATCGTTTTCAATTTTAAATATCTTAACCGCATCCTTTTACTCAGAAGTGACTTGGAGCTATATATCTCTCAACACAAAATCTATAAATATATAATACCAACATTCTGTCCGTTCAGCATTAATAATTGGGAGATTTTTCAATGTAAAATGGGAGCGTTTCCACCTTATTTTTTGTGTAAGGGGTTTCATTCAATTGGTGCAAGAGGCACAGGCTTGATTGGCCCATTTCTGTGTAATAGTACTAACAGTTGGTAATTTTTTAACTCTTAATTTATCTAGTGTGAACTTACTCTGTAAACAATCAGCGTTGAGCAGATCTTTACACTTCTCGTGGCACTTAACCATGCACTCGGTGCAGCGCACTCCCTGCCGTGCGATACCCCACAGAAGACCCTCACACTCGTAACAGAATGTTGGCGATGTTGCTGTCCACATGACAAAGTTGTGCGGCGTTGTACTGGAGATCGGGTAGATCAGGGCTTGCAGGGTCTTCTTGTACACATGCATTTTCTGGGGAACAAACATTTATGTGAGCATACAGTTGTAAATTGTAGTGAGTAGTAACTGCCAACGGTAACAATAATATAAGATTGGTTATAATCAATCTTCTGTGTACGAATTACAAAAAAGTATTCCAAAAGGATGCATTCTAAAAAGATCAGGATTTGTTATACAACTGCTAGGTTTAGATGTTTAGATCAATGAACCAAACCAATTACTTAGCCTTTAAGCTGTAAAATAGTGTCTAGGCTAATACAGGATAAATGAAATTGAGCAAACACTGCTCTCAGAGAATACTGTGTATTAATGATCATTGCAATGATATACACAAAGTAAAGCTCAGTCCCCAAGAATTTGATCCCAATAGGGCCAGTTATGAACCCTATTTGTCATTTGGCTGTCAATGAATATGTCATCTAACAAAACCAATTATGTAGGAACAAGACCAGGAGTTGGACCTGTCTCTTGAAAAAATTTCATTGACCCTAAAACTATTTGAAAATAAAATACCACTCACCAGTTCTTCATCATTCAAAGTTGCTCTTGGAACAGCTGAAGTCAAACCAGCCCCCTTCTGTCTAGTAGCTGCCATTGTCTGAAAAATTAGCAGTCATTAGAACATCAATTGTTCCTAACATTCTTTGTAGTTCCAATATAGTTGCACTTAACCAACAGAAGAAACATAAAGCAGGTATGAAAATATCAAACTTGTACAATACCTGTGTATCCATTTGTGATGCTGCTGTAATAATTTGAAATGTACTTGAGTATAAGAAAACCACAGGCACAGGTGATGTAATAAGAAAGTTACAAAGAAAACTAAATTGTTGTTCTATTATTTCATGGAATCATTTTGTATATTTTACTTATAGAATATTAAGTTGAAGATAAAATTACTGCAAAAAGTTACGAGTGTTAGACTAAAGTACAAGGCTCAATATATAATTACTTTTCCAATTAATTGTTGAAAGAGAATGAACTATTTTTCGTCTAATTTGTTATCAAGAGCAAAGTCAGATCAGCTATATTGCTCATATTTTTGGAAGACTGTTGATACATTCCATACATGAAATACTAATTCCCAATACTTGATCAATATCTAACACAATGTGGTGTGCATCAAAGTGGCCATTGAAGTGATTGGAGTTATCCGCACCCACCAATCAAAGCATTCTCAAAGCGTTATACTCGTACAATCCCCCCCCCTACCATTTAATCCCTATGTTAAACAAATCTATGTTACAAAGCACATGGGATAGCACTATAGAGAGTAAACATTGATATCATTCAAAGATTTATTTAAGAGCACTTACTTGAATTTTTATAAATTTTATTAGCTTATACTGTATTTTTAATTTTCAAATTTTCACCAATGTTGTTAATTAAAAACAGAGGAAAAGACATATGTAGCTTTTACAGCTAAATAAAACTAATCTTTACTCAAGTAATGACACCGAAACACATTCATTGTTCACTCAACTCCTGCTTTTACACAATTTCGCCAAAGAATGTTCAATAGAGATAATGGTCGTAAAAAAAAACTTGAATGATATCATACTATAAAATTTGTCTAACAAAATCAACATTATGAATATCAAAAACAGTTGTCCATGAGTAAATAGACTCTTGATTTAATCATGGATTTTCTTATTATCTCAGAGTAAGTAAATCGAAAAAAACTGATTTCCCTCCATTTTCAATCTTCATTCAAAGGGAAGCTGTGGAGAATAGACATCGAACAAACGTAGACTATCTTTATCCAAACTCAATCCCAACCGAATGAAATCTTCTGATTAAAGCCAACTACTGGGTGTAATTTATCTAGTTTATAACCCAGACATAGTAATAAACCGTTATACGTTATCTATTTTATTCGTGGCTCAAATTGACAATGTATACATTTTTCAGTTAGGAAGCGGCCTACAAATCCATTATTTATCTAGTTCAAAACGTAACCAAAACAAAGCTGACTTTATCTAATTTTGAAGTTGCTCAAATATGGAACATAATTATGAAGGACACTAATATTCCCCTTTTTAAGTAGAATCCAGATTTAGAATGAAAAGGAATTTAGTCAAGTTGAATGTACAGCTGTAAAATAAAATTTCTAAAAGGCCAACTTGTTATCCATGCCAAGCGAAAGGAGAACCGCATTATTAATGCCAACACATTTGAGTTATACATGAACTAAGACAAAAATTTCACTTGTAGCACGTCCTACAAAATGTTTTTTCAACTAGATATTCTCTTAAACGACCAATCTGGCTTTAGATAGACCATTCAGAGATGCCTACTTCAGAACTTAAGTAAATGATTCTGCCTATTTCACTGTGGCTAGGCTAGCATTTTGCCTTGATCAGTATGCCTACATAGTTCTGAACCCTTGTCTACAAATTTGATTAATCATTTATTGCTGTAGCACTCTGCTCTGACGTTTCTTGAGATAAGCAGGACAATTATTCTTGGTTTAAATATTATGAATATCAATCCTCGTCGACTAAAAAGACGCTTATAATTGTTTGTAAATAAATATTAGATAAGAAAGGCCTATATATTGAAGACAGATCCAAGAATATTATTTGAATTGCTCAATTCTGCTCGTTTATTTGTAATGTTATTGTGAACCTGTGAATAAATCGTCAGTGGTAATGTTATATTACGTTTAATTTGTTTTTTTAATACTTAAAGATAAAACACTTAAATACAAAATTGCAATAATATAAAACTACTCATAGAATAAATTAGTCTTCTACAATCTAGAATTATAGATTTAATTTCCAACATATTTTTCAACAGCTACTAAATCAATTATACAAATTGATACTACAAGCCAATTGTCACACTTGCAAAAGCAATGACGAAACTATTCTTAAAAAGGTAAAAGTGAGAAGAGTGTTTATAAGCATGAAATTGAAAGTAATAAGAAAACAGTTAGAAGGTGATATAAATGGTAAACTGGTAAAGGTTATTGAAGGGCTTGAAATATTGCATTGCATTCATGCATAAGTAGAAAATACTACTAAAATAGCCGACATTGAAAATACATCTTATAATAAAGATTATTAAATTGTTGTTATTACTTCTAGAAATGGCAAAATTTAAAATAATACAATCTATTAGATCTAAATCCAAACAATTTGGCTTGGTTTCACAAGTAATGTTAGTTTAAATAGAAAGAGTCTTTAGCTTGTATGTATGATTGAACCCAGCTATTTTGGTAACTATTTTCTTCTTTATTGTGTAATTGCAAATGCTACCGTACTAGTTTGCTGCACAATCATGCAATATTACCAACACAAGAAGCACACAATGGTTGAAGAATTGTGAGTGTGTACGGTGTAGAGTATATTTTTGTTAATTATAAAAAGAAACCACATTAATGATTCCCACGTTTGGATATCGGCCCCGCGTTTTTGCAATTAAATTTTATGCGACAACTTTATCACGGCATCCTTTACTACAAAGCCGCAGCGGGACAAAAGTGGCAACGTCGCATTCCCGGCCTACCGAAACAGCTGTTGCACTAATGTACAGTATAATGGAGCGGTGTTACCATGGCTGTAGGCCGGCAGGGGCGTTCCACACACCAACGTAGCGGCCTCTTGTATTAAAGGAGGCTGTGGCTTTATCCAATGTTATTAATGATTTTGCTTATTATATACAGTAATAATGTTCTGTAAATCCTGCGTACACAATCATTAATTTACTAGTAAAAATCAGGTACTGAGTAAGCTACAGACATATTAGAATTCATTCCTACTACTGGAACGTCAGTTATTAATAATAATATACTGTTACCTTCTAACGTTCCAAAATGGACGTTCCATTTTGGAACGTTAGAAGGTAACAGTATATTATTATCTACAGACATATGTATTTTAAAATATTAGAATACGTAATTTCTTTAGTATTAGAAACATTTTAATTTGTAGAATAGCTGTATAACATATGTTTTAAATTCTAAACAATGTTTGAAAATAGTATTATAAGCAAAAGTTGGAATATATTGAATACTATGTTTATCGAAGGATAAATTTTCAATAAATTGCAAAAAAAGTCCGATTTTGTATAGCCTTATGCAAAAACTCTATTGTATGGTTAATTTATTTGCAATACTGTAGTGTGTATTCAGAAACAGAAACTCTCTAATGTATTTTCCCCATCTCTCCCACTTTGAGGGAAATGTAAGCTTCTTAAAAGATTACTTTTAGAGTGAGCTCTCCCCTCCCCATCAAGGCATCTTAGACTAATTGATTTTTACACAGTTCTTCTCACATTTCTATTTGCTTTTTACTGTTCGGTTTTTGTCAAATTCGTCTTTGACATATCTTGACCACATAAAAGCGGTCTGATAAGAATTTGATGCAATGTTTCCTAGTTAAAAATATTTTCTATAGAATCGAATTTTAGTTTTAAAAGTCAATTTACTTATATATACAATTTGTTTATGCAGACTACAACTTCAGTTTGTTATGCTAATTGCTTTATCCATGCTTCACAAGGGGATGAGAGACGAGACCACATAAGAGAAAGGTGTGGCTCTTAACATCTGTTATTGAAAATAGTTACACGTCCAAGATTCGCCGTATTACAGTAAAACACTCAATTTCACTCTTAAGTTTTGACAAAATTATTTTTCTTCTGTTTCAGGTAAAAAGATTTAATCTTTAACCTACATAGTAAGTTTTTTTTACTTGGGTGTGGAGTGTTCAAAAATACTCTAAGAACGATTTAATTAAGTAAATTAATTAAGTTGATGTAAATTAATTAGCATTTAGGGCAAGCAGTATGCCCTCAAAGTGTTTACCCTGAGTGTAAACTGAGTGTAACTGAAGTTGTAGTCCGCATAAACAAATTGTATATAAAGTAAATTGACTTTTAAAAACTAAAATTTGATTCAATAGAAATTAAGAAACATTGCATCAAATACTTATCATGCCACTTTTATGTGGTCAAGATATGCCAAAAGCGAATTTGACAAAAAATCGAACAGTAAAAAGCAAATAGAAATGTGATGAGAACTGTGTAAAAATCAATTAGTCTAAGATGCCTTGACGGGGAGGGGAGAGCTCAATCTAAAAATAATCTTTTAAGAAGCTTACATTTCCCTCAAATTGGGAGAGATGGGGAAAATACATTAGAGAGTTTCCGTTCCTGAATACACACTACAGTATTGCAAATAAATTACTGTATGATAAGCAGATATAAAATCAAGAATAACAACACGAATAACAAGTAGCTATAATTTAAAAGTACCAGGAGACCGAGCTTAGCTCGGATTGAATCAAACATTAAATTTATTTGATAGGCTTTTTAGCTAAATTAAGATTTGTATGTAAGGTAAAACACAAATGTGTATGATTCAAACGAAAACATTTTAATACACCTTTAGAAATACGTAGGTTGCAATAAAAGCTACCTGTATCAGCTGTTTTTATAAACTGCAGCTACATAAAGATGTTGACGATAACATGGGCAATTTCAAGGGCTCTAGGGCGGAAACAGGATTTTTCCCAGCCTTGTGACCAACTCCAATATTTTTCCCGTGGCTAAATACCCCATAATATACCGTATTTATAATAGTAATTCATAAGTTTTAGGTTTAAGATAGTTTTTTTAAAAATAATTATAATTAGGATTATTTTATACAATTCTGTAATTCTAGAGTGCTAATTCTACGTCTAGCAGTAGATAAACTAAATGTTCAATTTAATTTATGATCATACGTTGAATTATTTCAACTGAGGAATTAAATTTATCTCACAAAAATAATCTATCTTGAAAATGTTATAATTTATCCATCAAAAATGTTTTGAGTTCTTGCAGCTTAGTAGCCAAGAACCTGACTTTACAGTAAGGAAGTAAATCTTATTGAGGATTTAGTCTGAGCTGTGAATTCGGGAAGTGATTTTCATCCCTCTGAAACCAGGTCGAGTAATTTATTCAGCCATTCAACAGCTGATGAAGTGCTTATTACTGCAGGGCTGGACTGTGGACATACAACTTTTGTAATTGATGTTACTTCCCTTAACACTCAAGAGGGAAGAAATAATTTGATTCATTATTAGTCGTTCACTTGAGCCTTTAAGATTACAACTTTTCATTATTTTTCAAGGAAATTCAGCTTTTATATTCGTGTAATGAGTGTTCATCCTAACATTAAGAATTATGATAAGCCGATTGACATTTAATTAAATTATTTTATTAGTTTCAAAGTGTGGTATTTATTTACAAGTTTAGAATTAAATATTAAAATGTTATTCATACAATTATTTAGTATTTTTTTTTAGTATCATACTGTATAAGAGTATAATATTGAAGATTTTTAATTACAATGCATTTTGAGTAGTAAGTAAGTATATTGGATTTGTAAATGCAGGGTGTAGCTATTAAACTTCAGTACACAGAGAATGTGTAATTATCAGATTCCGATCAAAGGGAGCTAAATAAATAATTAACACTTAAAGCAAACATTCTCAGGGATTTGAGGTTAGTACAAACCTTTGTCAGTAGTAAGTTTATTATTAGTTTGAAAACTATTTAAACTAAAGTATTAGACAGTTTATGTGTTTTATGACGTTGTAACTTCAAATTGTATAATTAATTTCTATATTTATATTAAAGAATCCGAAATTAACTAATGTAGCCAAGATAAAGAGTTAATAATGTAATAACAACATGAAATCGAATCCATACTTTTCATTCTTTGCTATTCAATTACAGCACAAACAAATAAAAAATATTACGTATTCTTTCTCCGGCAACCAACAGAAATGAAGATTATTTACCTATACACTACATAAACTACAAAATGACTACATTTATAACACTTTACCGTGAGATAAGCAAATATTGAACTCGGACCAATATAAAAGCCATCTAAGGAATAAACAACTACTTCAACAACAAGCAACTATAGAGTAGTCTAGGTTTTACATTACCATTCCAGTGGACAAAACATTCTATTTACTCGAATCAAGTGGTATTTACACCAAAATATAAACAAACTGAAAAGTGGTTCACTATTTGTTATGTACAATTGGTTTCTAGATCAGGATTCAGTGGAAATGTGTATGAATGAGGACTAGTGTAAATGTATACGTATACATGGAGTGTATATGTCAAGCGTGAAACGAAACGAGCAATAACATAACGAGCATGCAAGAAACAAGTTGATGCTTGAAAGAAGGGGAGTACCTTGAGCACCTGGAGACCATGGGAACAAAGAAACAATGGATTAGTAACAATACACTGACAATAAACAATAGGATCCAATCCATTGTACTTTCCTAGAACCCTTAAACTCATGTCGGTTAAGATATTAAACAAACATGCAGAGTATGATCAAATGCATATCACACTCTATTGTGTTTTCCTAGGTAAAATTGATAGTATAGCAAGTAACAAATTAAGGTAGAACTAAAAATAATTTCTTTGGTAAATATTAACCTGGTAAGTTTAAAATTATTGAACATACACACAAAAGGAGTCATACACAGTGGAGAACATTTAGAAATGGTTACTTGAGGTTTGATTGGTACATGTAGTGGAGAGGGAAATAGTTAAACAACATTTGACTAGAATGAAACTAAGCTTTGCTTATAAGGAGGTAATTTGATTTTAAGGTCAAAAATACAATTTCACCGAAAGTAGGAGCAGTATAGAACTGGGTCATGTTGAAGAGTGCTTAATGACTCTATGTCACAAATGTTGATGTCAAAACACTCCATGGTAACACATGTCACCAGCACTCAGCCTAATCAAGTCACAAAACCAACAAAAAACCTTTCAAATTCGCCAATCCTATTACAGTGATAGTTGTGATGGGTTGAACAAACTTGTAAGTCTCAAATTGAAAGCATTTCTTTCTACAGGAATGTAGGTGCACATTAAGAATGCAGTTTAGTGTAATTTAATTAACATATTTTTAACTTCATACCCCCAAATGTTTTAGCTCCCATATTTTAAAACTCGATTAAAAAGAAAAAGGGAAGAACTATAAAATATTATAGAAAGAGGATTTTTGTAATTTCATGCAATTATGCATATTAAAAAAAGTACAATTTAGTATATTTTACAATTTTTCAAACCCTGTATTAAGTTCACATTTCCAAATTTTGAAGCTTAAAAATATTAGATATAAAAAAAAACCTTCAAATTTAAATCTTTTTACAGTTAGAGTTTTAGTTGAAAATTGAAAATTTCCATAATTTGATAATTAGGAAATAAGCTAAACATGTTTAAAAATAATATTGTAAACAATAACTTTTTTTTAATTGGCAATTTAAAACACGTTGTGAGCGAAATATTTATTTTCACCAAAATATTTTTAATTTCACAACACCTCCAAAAAAATTTCGATTTTCATATTTTAAGCTTAATCAACCCAAATAGGTAAGATATTTAACGTTTGTCAATACTACATTTTGACAGTGATGGTTTTAATCGGTATGCTACAAAAATTTAAAACAGTTTATCGGTACTTTAAAAACAAGATTTTTGTAATTTGATGTAAAATCAGATTTCAAAATGAAACAATTGAGTTGTGAAACTAGTCATTTGTAATAAACAACCCATCTGTAAACCACGACAATAAGGCATGTAACCTATTTTATCATCGTTACTGCGTAGATTACAGAGGAAAAAACTCTTTAAATTTGTTTTCGGAGAGAGAAAAGAAGACAGACAAAAGACATTGGAAACAGAGGACGCAAGGGAACAGTCATCGACAAATGACACACTCAAGACAGGGACACAAGGACGGACGAGAAAAATGTCACTTGTAATACTCGTAGAAAAATCATTTCTTAAGCAAAGCAGTATAATGGACAGTAAGTATTACTGTTGTACTTGAAAGCTATTGATGTTTCAATAATGATTGTTGTACATCAGTTTAAGCTTGATGGAATAATCGGAGTTTAGAGTACTTACCAGCTCAGAGACCAAGGGTATGGATTTCCGCCTGGGTCGAATATCAGGCATACTGTCGATGTTACTGTAGAACGGATTATCCCCAGGGTGTCTGAAACAAGACACTTTATTAGTATAGTTAGATTATTTAATAGAGGAGTTTTGAAATTCATAAAATGTTCTCCTAGTTTGAAAAGTCTCTTCTTTTATTTTCCTGGTGATTTGCAGTTTTTGTACCCATGTCTCTCGGAAAGAAGTCTCGCGCTTCCACCAGATTAGTTGGTCTTACGGTTATTGTAGTCAAATTATTGTGTGGATACTAAGAAAAAACTTATTCTTATTCCTTTACAGATTATTAGAACCCTCAATCTTCACAGTATGTACTACTAATAATAAGGTTAATGAAATAGTAAATACGGCATGGTAGTATGTTAAAGTAGTGCTGTGTGCTGTATACAAAACTGAGCACATGACACCAACTCATTCATTTCATTTGGTTTTATTCAAATGTCCATCTAACTTGTGTCTTCTTTTATTTCCCTTATTTATAATAGTTTATAAGTTGGTGCCCTCAATGTGGATTAAGAATGTTTTAAACTAGTCTAATTGTCTGGGAAGTCTAAAATATATAATGGACAAAAAATCTTATTCTCTTTAGAACATTGATCATTTAACCTACTTAAATGGTGTATTTAATTGTTTAGTTTGAACATCGGGTTTCATTAACTCATTTAACCCCGACAGCTGATTGAGTCCACTGAGATAACTTAATTCCAGAAACTTGGAACTCAATTGACAACCCCGGCCTACAGAGGTCCATGAAACTCCAATCAACTCCTTTCGTTACTTGAGACATTTTGCAATAAAACTTTACAGAAACTTTTAGCAGACGATTGCAATTGATTAATACATTTAAACTTCCAATTCAGTAGTGGAGCATAATTGCAGCTTTTTTTGTAAATCTAATCTGTATTAAAAAGCGTAATTAAAAAAGAACAGTAAGTGTGGTGTTAAGGAACTACATTTAAAAATATATTTCAAATAAACAGTTATTATTAAAATAGATTGATGTAAAATTAACAGTTATTGCTCTTTTAGTAGATATAAACTGAATTTAATTATGGTCTGTTTAAAAAAATAACTAGCCTATATTCAATATGGCGTCGTCTCAAAATAAAAATAATCACAGTTTTAGCAGTGAAACTGAATTCGTAAAGAAAAACATGTACGTTACAAAATTTGGACATAAAGCAAATAATTAATTAATGGCAAATCGTTAAAAGCAAATAGTCAATTGGTGAATAGGAAGCATATTTAAAATTCCCAAATCTTAAAATATTTTGCTTTCAGAACAAAGCTTTTTAGTATTAAAATAAATGAATTCTAGGCCCTTTAAACGCAATAGGCCTAACATTGTAAATGCCAACAAATTTCAAGATAAAAAAGAATAATTCTGTTTGAAAATCATGCTATGCTACAGTATTTGCCTTCAATATAACAGATTTACTTACAGGCAATAGTAAATTATAAATTCCCCAAAACTGAATTTTTAATTTATGCTTTGAAACACACATGCCAATGTGGCAAAAAAATATCCCTAAGGTTGATTCAATGATTAATTACCATAATATAACACTGACTAGTTTTTGGTTAGATTTATGTTCTGTTAACCATATTTTACTGGGCTTTCCTGATGTACGAGCCCTCCAACAGAATTCAAACTATACACAATTTGAACGTGGCTGTTAGATTCTATGAGTTACGCTCCATGCCTTGCTTAGTATATTATACAAATACAGTGTATATAAAAAAATAAATTTGGAATTATAATGTTGTAGTAGTTACCTTATTAAAAGAAATACGTGAGTACACGAAAACCGTTAGACTGAACAAGTGAACTCCATAGTGTATTGGTGCTGAATTGCGTTACAGTGCCTGAGAATGTTAAAACTGGGTGTTTCATTATATTCACACGTTTTTCTTTTTTTATTTCTCAGAAATGTTTAAACAGAAGTGTTTGCCAAGACTGTACTCTCTCGACTTTTTCAACAGACTGTCCAAACACATTCCAGTCGGTCCGCTCTATATTGGACACATTCCACGAGGATAACGCCTTCTGCACACAATCGTAATTGTCCTTTAATTTAATCCACTTGTTTTTTTTGTTTTTTTTTCTCTGAACGTACTATCTAAATTTTAAAAGTAAAATAATATAAAACCGTTCACTAGACATTATACATATTGAAAATAAATAATTAACTCCTATACATAAATGGGACACAACATACAATCGATAGACCATTTATTATTCAGTTGCGTAATCCTTTGCTTCCCATTCGGTCATTATTCATGGGATTTGCTGATAATTCCCAATGTACACTGTATCCCCAGAGTCATGCATGAAGACACTGTATGAGATATGATCGCCGAGGGAGACCGACGTTCTATGATATACTTGCTGTGATGTGTGTGTGTTAGACGTGTCTGCTTGTATCTCTGCTTTGGCTCCTTCGTACATCAATTTGTATATCTTGCCGAGTACGCTTTGACCATGGATATATATATATATATTTAGAATAGATACCGGCTGTTTCAAAGATCAGTTTACCTAGGAAGTGTATTTGTTAAGAGCAAATAATAAATCAGTGTTATTTATATTATTATTTTTTTTTTATTGAATTTACACTAAACCTAGGTTGTCAAAGAATTCTTCAAAATGCTTTCCACTAACTTCAATGCATTTTTCATAGCGTTTTTACACTTGTAACAATATTTTTGCTTAAGATACAACAAAGATTATCTTAATTTATGCTTTATTCATTATCTTCAAATTATTAGGCTTTAAATTCACTCGCGTCTCTCAATTGCAGAACATTTAGCGACTTTTGAGCAAAAACCTCATTTTTAATGATCCACCAAATAAAAAAGTCTAACGGTGTAAGATCACAGTATCCTATGGGGGCCAATCAATTTGCATGGGAATTTCAAACCATAAACAACAATAAAAATATATACAAAAAAGTGTAAAAAAATGCTGTAAAAATCCATTGATTTAGTAGAAAGCATTGTGAACAATGATGATTACAACCTAAGTGTAGTGTTAATTCAGTTTCAATAAATGCAATTGATTTATTATTTGCTTCTTAACAAATACACTTACTCGGTAAACTGATTTTTTGAACACCCAGTATAATGTATTTATGTATTTGTCATAATCTAAATAGCTTCAACTTATAAGTTAAAAAAGAGAGTGCCAAGTAAAAAAAATCTAAAAGATGGTAAGTGGTGATCGATTTCGATTGGACACTCTAATCATTATGAGACCTAATAGGCGAATGCCATGGCGGCGAATGTCTACTCATATAAGTTAACAAAATTTATTTTCTAACAGGCTTAAAGATATGTTTTCGATCGATTGACTCTTACATCAATACTATATCAATAAGTTAAACAATTTTCTTTCGATCCAATTAGTAAATAGACTCACAGCTGAATATTTCAACACGTTAAGCAGGTATACTCACTTAAGTATAAGTTCGCATTTGGATATTTTACGATGTAAGGAAGAATATTTACGAGTTCCTGTCTATAAGTGTGGAAGGGTTTTAGGTTTACGACAGAGTTAGAGCCTCGCATTCTGTGACTCAGTAGGATATTATAATTGTGTTGTCATCATGAAAAGCAATATTTTGTTAATACAAAAAATTTCTTAACTGCTAATATTTGTCACGTATAAAAATCCACTAAAAAATGTCATCCTTGCCGTTTGAATTGGTCCTCTCTGCGTTGTAACAATGTTGCATAATATGACTTTTTTAACAACAAAAACATCACTCTACATAATCCATAAGTGATTGGAGTAGTCAAGAGAACTCAAACTTAGGCACAACAGAATAAACTCTCGCTTTTAATTCATAGAAATTATTCAGATGATGATAAAAGTCAAAGCGTGCTCGGCAAGATATACAAATTGATATTATATGAAACAGACAGAGCAAAGATACAAGCAGACACGTCTAACACACACACATCACAGCAAGTATATCATAGAACGTCGGTCTCCCTCGGCGATCATATCTCATACAGTGTCTTCATGCATGACTCCGGGGATACAGTGTACATTGGGAATTATCAGCAAATCCCATAAATAATGACCGACTGGGAAGCAAAGGATTACGCAACTGAATAATAAATGGTCTATCGATTGTATGTTGTGTCCCATTTATGTATAGGAGTTAATTATTTATTTCCAATACCTGTAATGTCTAGCAATCGGTTTCTTACAATAACAATTCATATAATACATTCTAAAAATAAAACAACAAAAAACGAAGTGGATTAAATTAAAGGACAATTACGATTGTGTGCAGGAAGGCGTTATTCTCGTGGAATGTGTCCAATATAGAGCGGACCGACTGGAATGTGTTTGGACAGTCTGTTGAAAAAGTGGAGAGAGTACAGTCTTGGCAAATACTGTTTAAACATTTCTGAGAAATAAAAAAAGAAAATCGTGTGAATATAATGAAACTAAACCCAGTGTTTGCATTCTCAGGCACTGTAACGCAATTCAGCACCAGCCGTGTATTGCGGTTATTGTATAACTCAGAATTGAAGGCGTTCACTTTTTTGCAATATGTGCCCAAGCGTTTTATTTTAATATACCAAAATAAATACTCAAAACATTGGAATTCCAAATAAACGCAATTTAGTGCTATCCTTGAACGTGTTGAATTTTCAAGACCTTAATTTGTACTACTTTTGTTTTTCGATCACTTGTTAAATTTTCCTTCGGTATAAAAACTACAAACGGTCTCAAACTATCGTAAACCTATAACCCTTCGAGGCAGAAACTTGGAAATATTCATCCTTACATAGTAAAATATCTAAAGAAGAATATTTACACGTAATATCTGCTCAACATTGAATGTATCGTGTGACGATCCTGGATTATCCTGGGTGATGAAAGTCTAAATGGCTTGGTAAAGAGTATTACTTCTAAGCGATCTATATAATATCATGATTCATTACTGCTCCACGTCATGGTTATTTATTACGATCAATCGACATGAACTTAATAGTTGTGTGATGCAATGGATTTATTACACTAAGTAA